ACACACACTCAGACAAGCTGACATCACCATGACACTAGCAAGTTGGGACACTGGCAGTAGAGCAGTCTTGGAAGTTATTCCTGCATTGAACCATACTTGGAAGTGACTGTAAATCACACAAATGCATTTCACTCCATCCAAACTCAATGTTTGCCCAACTCAGTGTTTCCTTTCCCAGAAATGCACTGTGGTCATCCAACGTAACTTGATACAGGGAATGTGTGCTGCATGGGTTGTCACACGGAAAAAATAATAATAATAATAAAATAAAATAAAATAAAATAAAACTTCAGCCCTAAGCAATTGCAAGTAGAATAACTAATTTTGCAAAACTAACAAGACATATGCTCATGAGAATGTGATGCTGGGCCTCGTCCAGGGTCTGGCAAGAGCCTATCCATGAGGAGAGCCTTGAAGTGGAAGCTTCATAGCTCACAGAGAGCTGCCTCTGTACATGTGAAAAGGCAATGACAGCAGTATGTTCCATGTGATGTTGTGTGGGAATTAAGGGTAATAGACATATGAAGGCTTATACATAAGCTAGTGGCCCAGTGCACGAAATTCGTGCACATTAAAAGGGGATTAATTAGTGGAAATAATTTAATATTGCTATTTGCTCTTTCTCTATAATAGAAGTGCCAGAGATGAAAGAAAAATAGTAAAATGTATATGAAAATCTCCCTCCTGTCAGAATCTGGGGTGCACCATGGGACCCAGAGTCAAGTCCCTGCCCACCCACATGCACCTCAAAATCGCATGAGAGCCAGACCTTGCTGGCCCCCGCCCTCATTGGGCTAGATCCAGACCTGGCCAGTCCCACCTTTGTCAAGCCCCACAGGGCAGAGAACATAGCATCAGGTCCCCTGGCCCAGCGCCAGGACAGGGGGCATGGTCTGAGGTCCCCCAGCCCAGATCAGAGCAGGGGGAATGTCTTGAGGTCCCCCATCAAGCCCCGCCAGGTGGGAGACATGGCCTGAGGTCCCCCATCAAACCCCACCAGGTGGGGGGGTGCAGCCTCAGGTTCCCCAGCCTGGCACTGGGAGGGGGGCACAGCCTCAGGTCCCTTGTCAAGCCCCGCTGGGTGGGGGGCATGGCCTGAGGTCCCCACTTAGGCAGGGGTGTGGAGCCTCAGGTCCTGGGGCAAGGGATGTGGCCTGAGGTGCCCTGGCCTGGTGCCAGGCTGGGGATACAGCCCAAAGTCCCCTGTCAAGCCCCACCTGATGGGGGGCATGGCCTGAGGTCCCTAGCCTGGTGCTAGGACAGGGGAACAGCCTGAGGTCCCCTAGCCCAGCACCAGGACGAGAAGCACACTTTGAGGTCCCTGTAAAGCCCACCAGGCATAGCCTCTGGTCTCTGCTGATTGCTCATTAAGGCTCTTATGGGAACTTGGCTTCAGCTGTTTGTGCAGCCATCTTTGTGATGGAGTGATGGTCAATTAGCATGTCCCTCTTTATTAGATAGGATGTCATGGTGCCTGGCATATAGTAAAGGCTCCGTTAGTGGTGGTTGTTATCAATGAGTGTGGGAAGGAGAGGGAAAAAACTCTAAACCCAATTAGGCCCTCAGTCCCTCCTTATGCAGAGATGAGAGCCCTGCCTCCCACGCCAGGAGGTTCAAGTTGTCATTTTCAGGTGAGTTTTCTCCCAAAGGTGGAATCTAGCCTATATGCATCCATTTGGGTTATAGTTCTAAGGATTGGTGTGGGGTCTGTGAGCCCCAGCAAACATGGAGCTTTGGAGCCACCGAAAGCCTCCGTGAGCTCTTCAAAACCTTTTCTGTTTAGTGTTCAAGCTTAAAAAAAAAAAATCAAAACTTGCTGGAATATGAAGCTCAGATGTAGTTTATAAAAGGAAATTGTCAATGTTGAGTTATCCCAACAATGTGTCTGCTCTGCTATATACAAACTGGAGGCTCTGAACCCTGGACCATGTGTGCACAGAGAAGTACATCACAGCCAAAGGCACCCAGCACACGGCTGACCTCCAGCCCCGCTCTGGCCCATATTTCCATCAGGACAATGTCTACCTGAATTTCCAGATGTACCAAAATGATCAAGAGAATGTGGGCTCTGGCTGCAGACTGTGAGGTTGTTTTGCTCAGGGAGACACCTGGTGGCTTTCTGATAAACTATATTGTGCCGAACACAGCACTGAGAGTGCGAGGAAGCCCAGCCTCCCCTGCGCTGTGAGCAGCAGTGTCCCCTTTGCGGGAGGGAGGGAGCCCGGGGACTCAGTGCAAAGGAGCTCTGTGGCCCCATTGGGCTTCCATACCCGCCTGGCTCCAGGTCCAGGCCAGGTCCCTGTGCTACAGGCACCCCAAGTCAGAGGGAGAGGGCTATCCCCAACCTTGATCTTTGTCTTCTTGTATAAATGAATTTATATCAAGAGACTTGATTGCACTGTGAAAAGCCAATTTTATTAAAGCATGCAGCTTTTTTGAAAAAGCAAAGGAGGCAAACCTATACATCTGGCTTATGAAGCACAGACGGGCTCTTGGCCACTTTGAAGAGCAAGTTGTGTGGGGGCCTGAGGCATTATGTACCCTCCTGTCTGAAGCTTCCAAAATTCCTCTGCTGAATTAATCCTCAAGGTCCCTTTTCACTTTGCTGTGACCGTCCCAGAATTCATGAGAAGCACCTGGAAGCTTTATCTTGTCAAGCCTCAGGACTGCTGGCTTTTCTGCTTAGGGATTAAAAAAACTGCCCTTCTTATTTCCCTTTCCCCTTCCTCACGCCTCTTCTGCATTCTCTCCTTAGGGAGGCTTTTAACCGTTTGTTCTCCAGTGTCCTGGCCGGGGAAGATAATGGCTTATTTACAAGCTGGCTGCAAGTTGCTCACACTGTTTGGTCTTGTTTCCCTATTCCACTTGCCCTGAATTTCCCTGGCTTCTTACTGCCCTGTAACACCGTGACCCCCCTCAGCTGGGCTCTCCCAGCTGTGGAAAGAGGACAGTGAGGCACACAGCTCTTCTTGCCATTGCGGGGACCAGCTCAGCGAGCGTGGAACCCACTACAGCACCTCTCAAATGGCTGCAGTTTGGTCAGGGAGCTCGGCCCCCTGTGGGCAGGCAGGCTTTGCTCCCCAATGCAATCCCCCCTCAAAGGGTACCCCTCCACGAAATCACCTTCATGGGTTTTCTCATGGGGGCAGGGGTGGGGATCTTATAACAGCCTTTCTCCCCTTTATATATATTTACATATTTTTGCTATAAGCAGTTATTTTTATATTAAGAAAAAATAATATTTCCTTTCAGAGGGAAGAAAGAAAAAAAAACCTCCATCAAGTCTCATTTTCATCTTAGCCTTTGGATGCTTTTACATCTATATTCATCTTTTTTAACAGAACAAAGGGGACGCTGGGGTTCTGCAGCATTAGTAACGTTCCCAGAGTCTCGGGCTGCTGTCCCTGTCTGCACATAAAGGTAAACAGCAGACAAGTAGACATCTATCTCCCTTAGAATGAACCCAAACAATGTGGTTTATTTCTCTGCCCACGTTGAGTCTGAAAGTTGAGGAAAGTAGTGATTTCATTTCTTCCAGCTCCACAGTACCTTCAACGCGCAGCTGTCCCACCAGCCAAGGTAATCAGGAAGGGAAACAGAGTCAACACGAATGGTTGCTGAAAGCATTTCTTTTGAGATAGCGCTGAATCCTAACCACTAGAAAACCTGAAAGCATTTCCTTTGTGTGTGCATTCCTGACTTTTTTTTTTTAAGCAATTGTTGCAGTTAAGGTTCTATACAAAAAATATCTCAAGGAGAATTTTATATGCATTATGGAATTTACTGAAATATTGGCATGAATTCAAAAACAAGTCCTTCTGTAATTCAAATGACCTTTTTCTAATAACCTCTATGATTGGCTGATTTTGCTATGCTGGATTTCCTTAAAATATGTTATTTATTTATTTATTTATTATTCCTTAGTAATGAGCAGAAAAATGGGGGATCTATTTTTTTTTTTGACATGTCAATTTCCAGTTGTCATTTGAAAAATACTAGAATTATTACACCCACTTATTTAAAAGGTGATCTCAGCATAACTCTTCACTAAGGTCTTAAAGACCAAAATTGTATCAAGAATTGACAGATGCTGTGATTTATTCTGCTACATGTGTAATCCTAGCAAGGAAATCTGCTCAAGTTTTAGAAAGCATCTATTTTCTAAGGAAATCTAATTTCTTCCTAAGGTGGGATCAATCCCATAGTCCTTTGTAGACAATGACCCTCAACTAGAAAAGTGCATCTAAAGGGTAGTCTGGGCTGTCAAGTCAGTGGGAGAGACACCCTGTCGTGGGTGACCCTTCAGAGTTCTCTCCACGCCCCAGAGGCAGGCGGTGGGAGGGGCTCACGCAGTGCAGGGAAGAGCCAGTCACAGGGCTGGCCACCCTGGAGGCTTCCCCTGTTAAAACCCCCGTCCCCTGAAAAGGAACCCACAGCAGAGCCAGCCGCTCCAAGTTCTCACTGAAGACAGTGCTGCCCTGCCCCACCACGCTCCTCGCTCAGACAGGGCCAGCCAAAAGCAGGTGTTTTTATGAACAGAGAGAAACTTTATTCTACTATAGCACAGAAAGTTTTTAAGTAGGAATTGTTCTTATCTGACAAAAAAATTCTGACACTTTGAACATCTAAAAGGTTATTTCTGTACAATTATATAAATATTTTTGTGTTTATATAAGCATGATGTTTATGATCCTAAAAGCTTTTTGGGGAATCAATACAATTAGAGTCTTTAGAAAATGATTAGCCTAGTTAGGAAATAAGAAACACTCCCCAAACACAGCCAAAAAAATAAAGACAATTGGGGACACATGGCAGGAAGGGGCTGAGAGGAAAAGGAAGATTGAAAATAGTAAAACCCTGCACTTGAATTTCAGAGGATAAAAACCTAGCAAAAACTAAATTATATGTAAAGATAAAAATGAACCATCCATGGGAGGGTGAGATGATCTTACGATCAAATTTCATTATAAGGCGATACAATGAATACATCACCTGGCAAATTTGTTCTTCCAGGAACAAGGGTCTTCTCTTGTTTATTCTAATCAAGCAAAATATTCAAGGTGAAGCCGAAGTGAAAGATCTCAGAGCCAGCAGACATGCATTCAGTCCCCTGTTCCAGCATGTGTGCTGGCTGTGTGACCCTGAGCGGGTACTTAACCTCTCCGAGCCCATTCCCCTGCCTGTGAAAGGTGGCCGATATCTACTTTGGTGGTTTGTTGGGAGGATTAGAGGTTAACTTATAAAAAGTGCTTGCATTGCCTTGGAAAATAACTGACTCTCAATAAATAAAATTATTTTGTGTGTTTGAGACAAGGGATTCACCTTAGAATTTAGATAAGATTATAATCCTACTAGTCTATTCCCATGTGATCTATCAGTCCAAAGTCGAAAACTAGCCACAGTCCTGCCCTCCAGGGCCAGGCAATCACAGAGAGCCGCCGAAAGTGACAAAGGGCGTTTCCTTGGGGAAGTTGTAGCCACCTCTTTCCTAAAGCTCCGCCATCTCAGCATGCAGCAGAAGCTCCCGGAGAAGAGCTGTGATGCCCTCTAGTTTGGGAATCTTCATTTCCTCAGAGATCACAAACCAACAGGAATTCTACATTTTCACCAGGAAGTAACAGTCACACAGCAGACCATGCCACCGAAGCTCTGGGAGCCACGAGGGAGGGTCCTGCCTGCACACGCCTCCCCCACAGGTCTTCCAGCACAAGTCTCCCCGGGGCCCACGTCCTGGGCCCCACCGGAAGCTGGACTTCTCAAGTCTCAGGCTCTGAGAGCCTCACTCCATCTGGGCAACAACGGCCAAGACTCCATGGAGAAGTGGCTCATAAGCAAGAACGGACTGGCAAGCTCTCTGGCTGGGCGTGAGTGAGCGCTCAGGCGGCGGCGCACACGGCACATGCACTTGGAGAGCGCCTGAGAGCAGCAGCAGGGGCCAGAGGATGCCAGTCCTGCCCTGAGAGGCGAGGGTGCCACTGTCTGTGACAGGACAGAAAAGGAAGAGGCTGTACCAGCAGAAACTAAAGAGTGCACTTGAGGTAAACTGTGGTCTTAGATATACGATGCTTGCGGGCGTTGTAAAAAAGAGGACAACACCGAGGTTTTTCATGAGTTTTAGGGAAAGGCTCAGCTCAGTTTTTGGTCCTGGTAAGATTTTCTTCATATCACATACAGTCATCCCAGATACTAAATAAAGCCGAGGTCTATGGGAGGTGGCTGTCCTCCTGATTCTAGAGTCGGCAAGGTTTCCAACAAGCCCACACCAGTAGCCTGATAAGGCTTCACCCTGTGCTGTGGGGTCCAGGCCGGGTGGTCTGCCAGGAGCCACGTCTGGACAATGCCGCCTGCTGCAGGGAGGCCTGGTCTGAATGTCCATGGCGTGGGAGTGGCTGCGGTGTGGCTGGTCGGCGAGGAGGTGGCGTGGTCTGCACCCGCCAGGAGCTCTCAGATGAACTGCTCCTCATCCCTGTCGTTCAGGAGCAGAGACCACTTGTCCCCGTCGTCCTCGGCGGAGGCGCTGTGCCGAGACGGCCTGTCGGACTTCAGGGAGGACAGGGACACCTCGCTGATGTAGCTGACCTGGTCCCAGGGGGTGGCCCGGGGGGAGTCCCGGCGCCGGTCGTCCATGCCGATGTGCACGCTGACCTGGGACGCGGTGAGGGGCTTCAGGCGGCCCTGGGCCTGGGCCTCGTACCGCTCCTGGTCGGGCTTCTTATAGCTGCAAAGGAAGATCCCAAGAGCATGTGAACCGTCCAGACACAGGCTTTTGGAAGCCTCTCATCCAAGTCTTTCAATAACATGCACAACCGAACTCCTAGGGTTCAGGTGAACTTGACCCAATTTGAAAACTTTGTATCCAAATGCCTGGCAGGTAGGCTGTCATTAACTTCTTGTTAAATGAAAACATACGTAAATAAACATCTATTTTGAAAAAGGAAAAATGTTAATACACAGGGATCCTGTGTCTACATACAGTCATGGGCCACATAATGATGTTTATATCAACAATGGATCACATATATGACAGAGGTCCCGGAGGTTAAAATGGAGCCGAAAACTTCCTATAACTAGAGATGTCAGAGCCATTGTGACACTCATTACTCATGTGTTTGTGGTGATGCTGGCATTAACAAACCCGCCGCGCTGCCAGCCAGATAAAAGTACAGCACATACAGTTATGTACAGAACATAACACTTGATGATGATGACCGATTATGTTAGTGGTTTGTATACTTACTATACTATATTTTTTATTATTTTAGAATGTATTCTTTCTACTTATTAAAAATCAGTTTGTGTAAAACACTGTGCCATACTACACTGGCAGCAACCTCATACATCTCCCATCCACTGCATCTCTTGATACCAATCATTTTCTCTTGTGACTGAATTATTCTCGTGTTGCTTTTGCTGTAACATGCTATGCAGGCCTGTAACCTAGGAGCAATAGGTAACACCATAAAGCCTAGGCATGTCATTGGCTATACCTAATCCAGGTTTGTGCAAGTGCACTCGATGATGTTCCTTCGCAAAAGGATGAAACTGCCTAACGACACTTTTCCCAGACTGAATCCCTGGGGTTAAACAGCACATGACTGTACTTACACGAGCAGCCCTTGAGCAAAATAACTAGAAGAGCCCAGCACGTGAGGACGGTTAAATGGTAGAAACTTGATCGTGGTGCCAATAAATCATTATACACTCAGGCTGCCCCTTAGGTCTTTGCCTCAGGTGAATGAATCAGGAATCTGAGCATAGCACACGCCCACTGCTGGCCCAGGAGGCGTACCATCCAGCCAAAATCTGCCTTGCGCATGCAGTGCAAAGGGGCCTAGCAAGTATCGCTCGCCTGCAGCGCATGCTCCTGCCCTGTGGGGACTCACTCACCACTTGAGCTGCAGCGACGAGCAAACTACAGACACAGAGGAGGCTGCCATGGCTGCCGAGCCCATCCATGGCTGCAGCACGATGCCAAGGGGCATGAAGACACCTGCGTGGGGTGGAGGGAGAGACACACTCACAGTGCAGCCCGGAGAGAGCAAGGGGAGGGCCACCATGAGTGCTCAGCATAGCTTGGAAGCCCGCTGCCCGGAGCACATGCCGCAGGCCTCAGAAGCAGGCTGTCTCAGAGCTGGGCAGTGGGGGTGCTGTTAAGGGGACTGGGGTCTCCCACCCGCCCTGCCTTTCCTGGGCCTTTCCTAGGCGCCATCACCAGTTTCAAGGGAAACTCCAGGAGAGCGGTGAATCTCAGGAACCAGAGGGGTAGCAGCAGGGCGGGGTGCCAGCTGTCCTGTGTGAGCGCTCAGAGGGCGCACTGCTAGTGACCACAGACCTGTCTGCATGGCCTGTCTTCCCTCAGGGCTCAAAACACCTTTTTAAAGGGCAATGAGAGCCAGGACCCTGGAAAGAGCCAGGAGACTCAGCCCACGTCTGGGCAAAGATCTGTGGCAGAGGCACAAACCAGAGTGAATCAGCGCCTGGGCCGGCTCTGGAAACAGAGGGAACAGCTGGCTGCACCCCTCCCTCCACACACACACACACACACACACACACACACACACACCAGTAGCTCAGGCAGACATGCTAATCATTATGAGTCACCTTTAACCACTCAGGCACAACGGAGGACTTGAAGCGGGAAAGCAGTGTTTACAAACTTTAGGTTTCAGCCCACATAGAAGCCTTCCCTTGCAGAAGAGCTGTTTCCTCCTGGGTGACTCAGTACTGGACGGGAAGAGAGGAGTTATAAGGCAGAAAAATCCCTCTCTTTCTGTGAGACAGGGTAACTCTCGGCAGGATGCATTTTTGAATGAAGGCTCTAAAACACCAATCACGGTGCCTAGCACATAGCAGGCGCCCCATAACTGTTAATAATGCTAGTTTTTCAGCCCGTATGTGTAATAAATGGTGCAGAAAACGGCCATAGTAAATAAATAGTCAAGCATCTTGGCAGCTTTTCTGAGAGAACCAGAGTGAGTGAAGGATGGGGTTCTCCGTGAAGTTTCTCGTTTACTGTTAGAGAGTTAGCAAGCAGAGAACATAATAAAATCAACACTTTCTAAGACGCTTCTGGCCGGCCAGCCAGCGAGGTTGGCTGTGCACGAAGAACCAGGCACACAGAGAGCCGGAGGCAAAGGTCACAGCAGGGAGAGCCCGTTACCTGCTGCGATGGGAATGCCGACCATGTTATAGATCAGCGCCAGCACCAGGTTGAGCCGTATTCTCCAGACAGTCCTCTGGGAGAGGTGAATGGCAGCGACCACATCGAGCAGGTCATTCTGAGGCAGAGGAGCGTTTGGAGGGTCAGGAGCTGTGCCCACAGCCCTCCCCCTCCCACGGCCCGGACAGCGGGGAGGAGACACAGCGCGCTCACTCTGATGAGAACAACGTCAGCCGCCTCGATGGCGACATCGGTGCCCGTCCCAATGGCGATGCCCACATCGGCCTGGGCCAAGGCCGGGGAGTCGTTAATCCCGTCTCCCACCATGGCGACTGTCTTCCCTTCCTTCTGGAGCTCCTGGACCTTGGCCACCTTGTGAGAAGGCAGCACCTCTGCGAAGACTTTGTTGATGCCGACCTAAAAGGAAAGGAAATTAGTAGTAAAGAAATAAATACGTGACAATACCCGGAGTTGGCAAAGGACAGGAATAGTAGCAGAAACCCAGTCATCCTGCCAACCCCCACCCAGCCTTCAGGGCGTCAATGATGTCAGTCACCAAGCCCCACAGGTTCCAGATCACATGGCAAATTTACTCCCTGGTCCCATCCCAAGGCCAGGCAGTGGTCTGGGGCCCTCACTGGTCTCCCTGCCCACATCTCGGCCTCCCCACTCTCTTCTCCATATGCTGTCCCAGTGTCTTTCCAAAACAAATTATTTGGTCGTTTTCCTTTCCTGCATAAAGTCCTCCAGTGGACCCCAGTTCCTTTAGGACAACCTCTACATTCCTGAGGTCTCTGTAGACGGTTCCCTAGATCTCGCTCATTTCCACTCCCTGCACCACTCAGCTCCATGCGCTCTCCGACTCCCGGCTACTTTGTACCCGGACGGTGCTCATGCTGCCTGTTCTGCCTGGAAGGTCAGCTTGCTTCCCCTCCTCCTGCCCCCTCTTCTTCACCAGACCGCTCCTGACTCAGCTTCCTCTCCCCGGGAAGACATTCCCAGCCTGCCAGGCTGGGGGGTCAGGTGGCGGCACCCACATGCCCCATGCACTCTTCTTTGGAAACACCAGGATTCCATTTATAGCTGGTCACTGGTCCACCCTCCCCACAGGACTGGGAGCTCCTTACGGGCAGGGACCCTCTTCGCTCCTCTCTGTAGCCTGCTGTCACATGGGTGGTACTTAGCAAGTGCTTGCTGAATGAATGAACAAGTGTTACCTAGGAAAGGGAGGGACTCAACAAGCCCATCATTAGCAAAATGCCCAGGAAAAAGAGGTACCATTGCTTCCCTCATACAGTGCAATTCATTTTCAAAAGCTTACCACTGCACACACATTTTTAAGAGGAGGAGTATATATGCTTTTCAGGAATTTGCACTGGAGCCACTCCCGTGTGGTGGGCCAGGCAAGCATGCAGCAGAGCTGTCTGCACGGCCCACACTCAGAACCCAGGCTGTGGGGAGCTGCCCGGCGCCAGTCACTTATCTGGTGCAACGAGTGGGAAGAGTTGAGCTGGCAAAACATTCCCTCAACATACAGACTACAAAGTTGTTTATGTCAGCCCTCAAGCCATGATGTATTTTTTGTTCACTGCGAAGACTGGGAAATGGAGAATGGAGTTGCTTTTCCCAGTCCTGCATGAATCACAGCTCTCAGGCCCCAGGGCAGGACCTTTGCTGCTACAGCATGGTGGTGGTGATGGGTGGTGGTGTGGTGATGATGGTGATGGTGGTGGTGGCGGCGGCGGTGGTGGTGGTGGTGGTGGTGGTAATGGTGGTGGTGGTGGTAATGGTGGCGGTGATGATAGTGGTGATGGTGGTGGTGGTGGAGGTGGTGGTGGTGGCGGTGATGGTGGTGGTGATGGCGGCGGTGGTAATGGTGGTGATGGTGGTGGTGGTGGTAATGGTGGCGGTGATGATAGTGGTGGTGGTGGTGGTGGTGGAGGTGGTGGTGATGGCGGCGGTGGTAATGGTGGTGGTGGTGGTGGTAATGGTGGTGTGGTGGTGATGGTGATGGTGGTGGTGGTGGTGGTGATGGTGGTGGTGGTGGAGGTGGTGGCGGTGATGGTAGTGGTAGTGATGGCGGTGGTGGAGGTGGTGGTGGAGGTGGTGGTGATGGCGGTGGTGGTGGTGACGGCGGTGGTGGTGGTGGTGGCGGTGATGGTGGTGGTGATGGCAGTGATGATGGCGGTGGTGATGGCGGTGGTGGAAGTGGTGGTGGTGGTGGTGGTGATGATGGTGGTGGTGGAGGTGGTGGTGGTGGTGGTGGTGTGTATGTTGGGGTAGGGGGTGCTGCAAGGCTGAAAAGTACCCATTCAGGGGGAAGCAGAAACAAAGCTGAGTGCTGGATGCACTGGTGCTTAGTTTTCCCCCTCAAAGTGCTTCTGTGAGCTTAACATCACTTTAGTTTGAAAAAGAGCAGAGGCCCGGCCCAGACCTGGGTGGCGATGGCTCTGGCTGTCTTGCGGTTGTCCCCCGTGATCAGCACCACGTCCACGCCCATGCTCTTCAGCGTGTGCACGGCCAGGGCGGCCTCCTGCTTGACGGCGTCTGCGATGGCGATCATCCCACAGAGCAGCCCTGAGGGAGCAGCACAGTGAGCGCACGCAAGGGGCCGCCAGGAGCACAGCCGCTTCAGTTCCCATAACGTCATGTTACCCGCAAGCAAACACCGAATTATAGAACATAATGTGGATTCTGTTTTTTTTATATAATATTTACATACCACAGGTGCATACCCAGTCTGGAAGGACTATCAAAATGTCAACAGTGGCTCTCTGAGGGGTTGGCTAATGAGCAATTCCATTTTCTTCTTTATAGCTCTCAGAATTTTCCAAATTTCTGCATGGAACACCCACTTTCAGAGTATCTAGCTCATAACTCAATATACCTTAGCTATTAAAACATGACAAATATAAGCGGCCCCGTGGCGGGTGAAAAGGCGACGGATCGCGGCCTCGGGTGCAGGTATCCCCCTAGTCCAGTAAAGTCCAAAGGCCTTCACCATGGACTTTCAACATCGCCCGGGGGGCAAGACCGGGAGTGGGGGCGTGGCCTCCTCTTCTGAGAGCAACCGGGACCTGCGGGAGCGCCTCCGGCAGCTGGCCCTGGAGACCATCGACATCAACAAGGACCCTTATTTCATGAAGAACCACCTGGGCTCATATGAATGCAAGCTGTGCCTGACACTCCACAACAATGAGGGGAGCTACCTCGCGCACACCCAGGAAAAAAAGCACCAGACCAACTTGGCCCGGCGAGCAGCCAAAGAGGCTAAGGAGGCCCCCGCCCAGCCAGCACCAGAGAAGGTCAAGGTAGAAGTGAAGAAGTTTGTGAAGATCGGCCGCCCGGGCTATAAAGTGACCAAGCAGAGGGACACAGAGATGGGCCAGCAGAGCCTCCTCTTCCAGATAGACTATCCTGAGATCGCTGACGGTATCATGCCACGCCACCACTTCATGTCTGCCTACGAGCAGAGGATCGAGCCCCCAGACAGGCGCTGGCAGTACCTGCTGATGGCTGCCGAGCCCTATGAGACCATTGCCTTCAAGGTGCCAAGCAGAGAGATTGACAAGGCCGAGGGCAAATTTTGGACTCACTGGAACCAGGAAACCAAGCAGTTCTTCCTCCAGTTCCACTTTAAGATGGAAAAGCCTCCAGCCCCGCCAAGCCTCCCGGCTGGGCATCCTGGGGTGAAGCGGCCACCACTTCCACTGATGAATGGCTTGCCCCCTCGGCCACCACTGCCTGAGTCTTTGCCTCCACCCCCACCAGGAGGCCTGCCTCTGCCCCCCATGCCACCCAATGGGCCTACACCTGCAGGGCCCCCGGGCCCTCCCCAGCTGCCCCCCCAAGCTCCTGGAGTCCACCCTCCAGCACCAGTGGTCCACCCACCAACATCTGGGGTTCATCCCCCTGCTCCTGGGGTTCACCCAGCCCCAGGAGTCCATCCTCCAGCCCCAGGTGTCCACCCTCCCCCATCTGCTGGAGTTTACCCCCAGACCCCAGGGGTACACCCACAAGCTTCTTCAGTCCACCCCCAGGCCCCCGGGGTACACCCCCCAGCCCCGGGGATGCACCCCCAGCCACCTGGGGTACACCCCCCTCCTCCAGGGGTTCATCCTCAAGCTCCTGGGGTTCACCCCCAGCCTCCTGGAGTTCATCCCTCCAATCCCGGCGTCCATCCCCCAGCTCCCATGCCCCCAATGATGAGACCCCCACTGCCCTCCGAAGGCCCTGGAAACATTCCACCCCCTCCCCCAGCCAACTGAAAAGCCACCCCCTCTCATTGCAGGTCTACTTTCCTGTTTCCCTATCTCTCCTCCCCGATCGAGTTTGGTGTTTGTACAGGCTGTGCAGTGTCCCTAGATCTCATTAAACAGCCTTCTCAGAAAACAAACAAACAAACAAACAAAAAAAACCATGACAAATATAGAAAATACTGCTTAGGAAGTGATGATTGTCCAAACAGCAAGAAAATCAACACTTCCTTTTTGTTCCTTGTGATAAAAGCCACTTGAATATAACTTTTTTTTTTTTTTTTTTTTTTTTAGCGAACCTTTTAGATGCTGAGGCAAGGAAGGCTTTCGAGGCCTGAAGTGTGGCAGGGCAGAGTGAGGGTGAGTGATGGATAAGGGGCATGACTCCTGCAGGTGAGCCAATTCTGCTCTGCGGAGTGGAGCGGACTGTGGATTTACAAGGACTTAGGAGGCGGCCTCGTGTTGGGAGGAGGAAAACATAAAAGAGAATAGGAAGGAGGACGTAAATTAGTTCTTATTTTCATATAGTTTTACTTCTGTTAGCAGTAAGATTCTAATCTATCTGAGATGTAAAGCCCAGGATATAACTGGGTCCTCGGGTACACTCCATCTTGAGAAGCAGAGGCAAGCTGCAGGGACCTCATCTTTCAGCGCATGCTAGGGTTAAACCTCCTGGAAAGTGAACTGCTTTGTCTGCAGTGTGAGGAGGAGGCCTCCAAGCTGCCAGCTAGGACTGCAGCAAACTATGATGGTGAAGACAGGATTCCAAGCGCAAGGAGGCAGGAGCCAGGGCAGAGCTGGCTCTGCACAGAGGGAGAGCGAGGGAAAGAGCCTCGGGACTGGGGGTGCCGTGAAAAGACGTCAGCGCAATCTTTTACAAGATGAAAGTAAAATTGTAAAGGGAGATTTGTTTCTTTTTAAATAGGCAGGATCTCTTTTTGCCTGCATCACCCAAAGCCAGGGGAAGGCGGAGCGGAGTGATACCGTCAACAGCCACCAAGACGGCCGTGTGGCCCTTCATCTCGTGGTCCGTCATCGCGTCGCTGACTTCGCTGGAAATGGCTAAGCCGTTGCGCCTCATCCATTCTCGGTTTCCAATTAGCACAGAGTAAGTCTGGGGAGCTGCATCTGTTCAAAAGAGTGTGTGGTTATTCCCAAACAGTGTAATTACATTATGAGAAATTACTAAACACTAGGGAACCCTTTTAAAGGCAAAATGTCCATTTGACCATTCTGAGAAATTATCACCTAGTAAGTGCCTCTCAGAACACCATCCTTAAAGGACCAGGGGGAAAGTATAATTAATGTGTAGAACATGTGGGTATGAATTAAAATGGGGCGCTAAAAAGTCCAGTTTCTATGGGTGAAAATGTCACAAGCCTATCAAACATGATGCTGCTGCTTTTTCAGAGTTATTCCTCCAGCATCAAATCCAAGTGGTGCCTAGCGACATCATGCTTGGTAAAGATGACCCAAAGTGAACAGCAAGCAACCTGTCCACTCCTATGGAATGTTTTAAAGCCCTGCCTCCGAAAAGGCCAGGGAGTCTTTCTCCTGTCACCTTCCAGGTGCGCCAGTGACTTAGGCGTCACTGCACGAACCCCCCTGGACACTAAAAAAAGGTCATCGTAGGGCTTTAAGTTGCTAGAAGGTGGAAGATGGCTTCCAACAGTGAAATCTAAATCAAGACTTAATTACCAACATACTTAAGAGAAAGCATTAGACACTTTTTTTTTTGAGGGGGGGGGAGGGGCGGTTGGTATGTTTTCACCCTCTTACGCTGATGGCTACTAAGCTATCCTTAGACTAAGAGAGGCCATTATTCAAAAGCAGCTCTCCCTCCAAACACTGTCCCTTCTTGGCATGGGCAGACCTTTCCCTGACTGCTGCCAGCTCTGGAAACACAAAACTTCCCATCAGAGTTCTACTAAGCGGGAGGTTTCCTGTTTTGGAAGAACAAAGCAGAATTCCCAGCGGTCCACTTTGGAGCTCACAAGAAGCCAAGCTAATTTGGGATAAGAAAGTGGAGATTCAAAATTATGAGCAATACCCTATAGATTTGCGTAATAGTCTACCTTTGTCTTCCATTGGCATCCAGATTCAGAGGAATCAAATGCAAGAGGAACTTGAGGCTTTCCCGGGGAGGGAGGTGGCGGTGTACAGGCCACGAGCCATCTTTCTCCGCAGCAGGAGGACAGGGTGGCGTGGTGCTCTCCGTGTTTGGCACGCTGCCACCCGACCCAGTCCGACCCAACCCCTGACAGGCCGAGCACCAGAAACAAAGGCCAGGGATACCTGTTTCTGTGGGGACACTGCCAACCCCGTTCGGGGGAGTGGCCCGTTTGCTCAGGTGCTCGCTGTGGGCCAGGATGCCTTCCACGCTGCTGACTTTACAGCCAATTCCACAGCCTGGAACGGCCTGGAAGTCCATGCAGTATCCCAAGGCCTCAGTTCCAAGTTCCTGTGAAGGAAAGGAGCAGGAAGAATAACCAGGAAACAGAGGGAAGAGAGAGAGAGCAGGGCAGAGATGGAGGTGAGGGTAGGAGAGAGAACAGCCCCAACCAGGAATTAAGAGGGAAAGGAAGTAGAATTGCAGGAAAAGGTAAATAGATAAACTATTAACTCAGTAATTCCTTTTCTCTGACACAGACATAATTATTAAATTGAACAAAATTAAATAGCCTAACTTCTCTCCTTAGGTGGATGCCTCATGATATTGGGCATATTGCAGACTAGGAGAAAGGCTATTCACATCAAACATCCCACATTAAGGATGGGGAGTTGTAAAGGTGCCAAAGAGAGGAAATACATTATTTTTATGTCACAAGTAATTTCATTAAGATAATGGAATAGGCAAATAGTAACAAAGCTATTTTGAGGCTATTAAGAGAGAACTGCCCATTTACAGACCCAGGGGAGGAGGATGACGTGGCAGGAGAAAGAAGTGGGGCACTATGCTTATTTGGGTTAACAAAACAGCAAAGGAAGCATGGCTGAGGTGAGCAGAATTCTTCCTGAAACATCAGAAAGGTGAGAGGTGAGAGGCCATTTGCCTTCCTGACCCTACATGAAAGACAGAAACACGAAATGAGATTTCTGGAAGGTTCTCTGTCCAGGAAGAGTTGTCAACTTTTTCAAGGCATCTGTGTAACCCTCTACACTTACTGATAATTATATTTGCCCACACCGTTTACATTTTATCTGAGCAGTATTTTGGCACATTTTGCTGCTTCTATATTCATATTGAAAATAGAGAAAATTAAATAGGACCTTCGGTCTGAAGAGATCAAAGGATGAACGCTTCCCCAGTAACTGTGCCAAAAACCCCCCAGGGTGTCCCGCTCACTTCTGGCTCCTCTCCATTTCAGATGTTCCCAACTGCATGGATTTCTACCCCCTCACCCCAAGACCCCATTCACTTTTGTTTCCCTTTGCACTAAGAACTGAATTTATACACCATCTGTCTTCCTCATCCAACCAGCAAGCAGCTACGAGAGGCAGAGTTCCCATCTTAATAGTTGTCCTGAGCTCGGGTGCTCAGTAGATGATCAACAGATGACTGTTAACACTGAGCTGCTTTTGCAATAATCTGGAAATGTGACAAGGGACCAGCTACTGCGAGCCACCTCTCCACTGGCCTGCTAAGTGGTTTTCCAGATCACACAAGCCAAGCCCTCCTTGAAGGCAGCTGACTGAGGTGCCATGGCAGCTGAGGGGAAAAGCCTGTTAGGAGGAAGGAGCTTGGAGGCTCCAGCCTCACAGGTGAGAGAAGAGGCTGTGGGAGGAGCGGGAGGAGGAGCAAGGCCCAGGTCTTCGTACCTCTTTACAGTATTTGGTGACAGCCATACCCAAGGGGTGCTCACTGCTGGCCTCTGCAGTCCCCACCACAGCAAGAACTTTCCTGAGGGGCAGCGTGGCCACATCCACAAGCAAGAGGACCCGCATGACTTTGGGGACCCCATAGGTAATGGTGCCAGTTTTGTCAAACATCACAGTCTTTATCTGTCAAAACAATCACATCTCTGTTAGCACAAATACAGATGGAAGGGACTTTAAAATCCACGCAATCTTGAGGCAGAACTTAACTCACATTCCCTCAGGAAGGTAACAACAGTCCTTCATCCTCCATGACATAACCGTCTGCAATCAATCACGAGGTTCAACCACTCCCCCGCAAAACCTCTGTTTCCCTCTATGCCCCCCGAATTCTCATTATGTTTTAATCTTAACCAGGTTGAGCCAGAAACTCTCACTCGATGTAGTGAGAGATGGCACACAGTCTCCCGGACAGTAACACTGGCAGATTTCTCGTGCAGAATCGGGAGCCAGGGATCTGGGAGTCAGCTATCTACTGCATTCTGCTGAGTCAATCATGGTTTTCTCTGGCCTATGTAAGTGCAAAAGCCTACTAACATTAAAGCTCTTGCACTCCAAGTTCAAGGAAGGGAGTATTCTTGGCCATAATAACAGGTAACCATCAGAGCCAGTTTTTAGATCTGTCCCACTTAGCCAAAGGCAGCTTTACACCAGTCCCAGAGGGTGGGCTCAGCCAGTCAGTAACAGCCACACTGGTACCTGCTTTCCTATGGCCAAGTCCACCAATCCCTGGACTCAGACTTCCCCAAGCGCCATATTAGGCCTGTTCAGACCGTGTCCCATAAACATGGTTCTCCCTTTATTAGCAAATAATAGATTCAGCTTTTTGTTTCTGCTACTGAGTGCTGGCCACTTGAACACTAACAACTGGTCTTCCTCCAATAATTCTTGCCTCCTTTTAGTCCATCCTTCACCTTGTAACCAGATCTTCTCAACAAGTAACCCAGTCACATCACCTAGGCACTTCAAACCCCTCCACAGCTCCCTGTAGTTCTTTGTGTTCATTTCCAAACCTGTTAAAAAACCTCCAAGACCCTTCAAGGTCCCCCTCTCCCTCACCTTTTCCCTTAACAGCCTGATCTATCGATTTCTCTTTCTCTCAATGATTTTCTTTCAGTTCCTCATTTATTATTCAGCAAATAACTAATGAGTGTTTTCAATGTGCCAGGCACTGGGCAAGACACTGGGGACACAATGATGGGAACAGTTCACAGTCTTTGGTCTTACAGAGTCTATGATAGAGCACCCCCTACCCAGCCCCTTATCCCCTAGTGCTTCCCATGTGCTTTCCCACTGCCAGAACATGCTTCCCAACCTCCGTTTCCTGGCTCACTCTCACTCAACTGTTGTGAGGTCTCAAATACACCACCCCTCATGGCCAGTCCAACACACACCAGTCTAGGCTAGGCCCCCTGCTGGGCTGATCTCACGGCATTGCATCCATCTCATAGCATTTGCTCTTTACTTCCTCCATACTTGTCATTCGCCATCCATGATAGCCAAAGACCATGACTAGGGCCAACCATAAGACCCATACATAGAATATGCTCAACAAATACTGACTACATACATTAATGAAAGGTTAAGGATTGGTATGTTTGGCCATAGGACGATTCTTATGCACTCTTGCCCATTATTCCACTCCCTAAGGTCACAGGACCCCTCCGCTAATCACACAGATGCAGAGTTGGTACTTTTCTCCAGGTGTGAAACCTGGCTCTGCCACTTATTAGCTGCAGGCCTTCCGGCAAGTCACCGGGCCTCCTCCTGATATAGCTCCCTCATCTGTAAAATGGAAATAATAGCTCTCATTGGTTTGGCTCAGTGGATAGAGCATCAGCCTGTGGACTGAAGGGCCCCAGGTTCAATTCCGGTCAAGGGCATGTACCTTGGTTTCAGGCACATCCCCAGGGGGGAATGTGCAGGAGGCAGCTGATCGGTGTTTCTCTCTCATTGATGTTTCTAACTCTCTATCCCTCCCCCTTCCTCTCTGTAAAAAAATCAATAAAATACATTTTAAAAAATACAAAATAAAATAAAATGGGAGTAATAGCAAAGCTGTTGATCAGATTAAATCAACTAATATTTATAAAGTGTTTAATTCTATAACTGTTAACTGCTGCTATCATTCCATCAGTCCTGGCTTCCTGTTGTTTTACTTAATGAACAGTGCTATCCTCAGGCCTCTTTCAGGCTTATCTCTTAATATGAAATTTAAGCAGATAATATTTTCACTAGACCTCATAGTTTAAAAAAAAATCATATAGTAAACAACTATAAAGTCATTCCAGTCAAGACCCCAAAGACGGTCAGGAGCACTGAAGTGCTGGGCCAACCTTGTGGGCCATCTCCAGAGGCTTGCCCCCCTTGATGAGGATGCCGTTCCGAGCAGCCACGCCGGTGCCCACCATGACTGCCGTGGGGGTGGCCAAGCCCAGGGAGCAGGGACAGGCAATGCACAGCACTGTGATGGACGTCTGGAATGCAAACCGGATGACCACCTCTGACTGGGCAATGTGCTTGTTGGGGTTCTGAAAAGAGGGAAGAGAGGTAAGTGGAGAGTGAAATGAGAAATCACACAGAATCCTAATCACTGTTGTTTCCTATGTAAATCCAAAACAAAGTATGGGTCTCTTTTCCAGGTAAGGTGGCACATACTGGTATTATTTGCATTGTGACATCTGGATTTAACTTCATTTATTTTTTTAAGTGGCTGGTGTCTCTGGAGTACCATCAGGAGATACTATATTCACTTAATTACAATAAAAGGTATGTTTTCTAAATCAAGAATACAGACCACAATCTCATTAGCTTCTATCTACATACTTCTTTTCTTGAAAGGCAAGATTCTAAAATAAGATATATTATTAAAGGGTCACTTAATTTTTATAGAAATAGTTGGAATTGGGTAGAGGGCCTGTTGTTTAAGACATAATGCATTCCTAAGAAGTAAGATGATTTGTGTGTTTTTTAAAAAACACACACACAACAATTCTTATCAAAATAACACCTGGCATTATGATGGGATTGGATAGACTTCTAGAAGCTGAAATGAACCCTGTCCCTGCAGTGATTTTTATGCAGCACAGTGATAACAGTATCTTAAAGGAACAAGCAGTACCTCATTTGCCAGCATCCTCCCTGATATTGCAGATAAAACAAAAAAAGCCAAAGTAAGAGGAAAGGCAGGGAACAGCAGAAAGTCACATATTCCAACTCGTTTAGGACTTAATTTCCCCACAGCCACATGCCAATGAGCCGCTCTCCCACAAAAGCAGACATTTTAGGCAGTGAGGTGCCTCAGCAGCCAGGGGCAAATTCTGAAATATAGTCATAAGTTACTTAAAAGCACTGAAGTCTCCTTAGATGTCCGAAAATGTAAAACTTGGATATTTTTCATTTTAAGATAGGAAATTTGAGAGAGGAAATGACATCTTAGTGAATCACACACACTCCAACAATATGCTATACCTTTAATTAGAAGTGAAAACAATTTTTTAAAGTATTATCCATTCCATAGTTGCAATTCCTTATTCTATCTAAGGTAAAAATACAGATTACACTGGGCTAAGTAGGAGATATTTTTGAAAAATAAGGTCAAACATTATTCTACTCATTGGGCAGTTATCAAATACTACTCTAAGTGAGTCATTAGCTTTTTATGTATGTCAAGGTATCTCAACCTCAGCACTATTGACATTTAAGCCAGATAATTATTTGGGGGCTGTCCTGTGCGTGGTAGGATGTAAGCAGTATCCCTGGTCTCTACCCACTAGATGCCAGAGCATCCCGTCCTCAGTCATGAGAAACCAAAAATGTCTCCAGACATGGCCAGATGTCCCTGGGGCAATAAGATCAGTCTCAATTAGAAATCACTAAGTTCTAATTTTTGTAGCATTAAGTTTTTTGTTTTGTTTTTTTATTTTCTACCTTTTTAAAAGTTTGATAAACTACAATTCATAAGATAATATCCTTTGCCCAGCCGGCATGGCTCAGTGGTTGAATGTCGACCTAGGAACCAGGAGGTCACGGTTCGATTACTGGTCAGGGCACATGCCCAGGTTGTGGGCTCAATCTCCAGTATGGGGTGTGCAGGAGGCAGCTAATCAGTGATTCTTTCTCATCATTGATGTTTCTATCTCCCTCTCCCCATCTCTCCCTCTCTGAAATCAATAAAGGTATGTTTGTTGTTTTTTAAAAAAGATAATATCCTTCATCCACTTCTTCAACAAAAAAATATATGTATATACCATTGCCTCATGTTTAATAAATATTTACTAAAAACTCACTAGCATTGCTTGGGAAGCTGTGAGGTTAAAGATGGTATTTATGGACATAGACAGCAAAAATACATTTTTCTTAAAATTTGTTAAATATTATCATGCATGCCATCAAAATCTGAAGTGACCTATCTGCTATGGTGTGTGGTCCATAATTCTCCAAATGGACAATACTGCTTGAAGCATTGCAACTGAGAGCCAAGGAATGTTTGTGAAATTAACTAGGAAGCAAAGGCCATCCTATATAATAAAAGGCTAATATGCAAATTGACTGACCTGCAGAATGACTGGTCACTATGATGCACACTGACCACCAGGGGGCAGACACTCAATGCAGGAGCTTCCTCCTGGTGGTCAGTGCACTCTCACAGGGGGAGTGCCACTCAGCCAGAAGCCAGGCTCAAGGCTGGCAAGTGCAGTAGCGGTGGCAGGAGCCTCTCTGCCTCCACAGCAGCACTAAGGATGTCCGATTGATGGTTTAGGCCCACTCCCCGCTGGCTCCCAGACTGAAAGAAGGTGCAGGCCTGGCTGATAGGCCCCATCAAGTGCAAGAATTTTGCACACCAGGCCTCTAGTTTTTAATAAAAACCTGCAGAAGTGACTGATTTCCTACCACGGCTAAGATTTTGCTGCCAGTAAGTAAAGCAAGCAAATAAAATGTAATGAGTAACCAAAGCCCACTGAATCTACGACATGAAAGAATAGGGTTAATGGCAATAGACTATTTAAAACAACAACCATAAAGCCCACAGCATTCAACTTACAGGAAAGTACTTCTGAACAACACCAAAATCGATAAAACCGATTATAATCCATACCACCAAAGTCAAAATTGAAATGATGATGATAAATGGGACAAAATATCCACTAAACTTGTCAGCCAGTTGTTGAATGGGTGCCTATAAAAACAAAACACCAAGACCACAGGAAATTACAATCTGCAAAGCAATCAAATACCACAAAAATGGACAAGGACTGTGATTTTCACCTCCCTCATTAACTTAAAAAAAAATTTTTTTTTATTGTTGAAAGTATGCTCCCCCTTCCCCCCACCCCCACTGACCTCTTCTAGCCCACCCCATCCCCTGCTCCAGGTCTTCACCACTTCATTAACCCGTGACTCAATAATATCTGCCTGAAGCTTTGGAACTCTTGGGATGATTTCTAAAATGAGAAAGCAGGAGTGATATTGTTCTTTACATTTTTTCATTACCTTTGACATCTGAGCCTCTTCCACCAATTTCACAATCTGAGCCAAAGTGGTGTCATTGCCCACGTGGGTAGCTTTAACGAGCACAGAGCCGTGTGCATTTATAGACCCAGCAATCACCGTGCTTCCGGGTTTCTTAGTGACTGGCATGGCTTCTCCTAGAGGCGGAGAGGAGACCAGCTTTCACGCACTAAAACCCCATTCGGCGTTCCTGGGACCTGCCGGTGCACTGATGCCCACCCGAAGGGAATGCAAACAAGCCACCTAACCTGTGATGAGGGACTCGTCGGCCATGGTATTGCCTTCTAAGACTTTCCCATCCACTGGGAACTTTCCCCCGGGAACAACCTTGATGACATCACCCCGCTGCACCAGCTCCATGGGTACTTGCTCCTCTCTGCAATAAATGCCACTCAGGTTACACACATGGCCACTCACTGCAGCTCACCCTCTTGGTCTGTCACTCAGGCTGAGTTCGACAACTGTTGGACTGGTTATACTCTACTTGCTTTACACTTGCAGCAGTCTTCAGTGTATGTGTCAGTTACAGATTCAGTATTTCTTGTGCCACTACTAAGTGCCAGGCACTGTAGGAGGCACTGGGAATATAGCTGTGACTGGGATAGCAAAGTCCCTACCCTTATGAAGACAAATTTCATGGAGAAAACAGACAGTAAACAAATTAGTTCCAGGTATTAAATAGATGCTGTGATGAAAATGTGACTGAAGGGCTTCTGTAGTCATGGGGAGAGGAAAAAAATGAGAAGGCTTCACTTGGACAATGACATCTGAGTTGAGATCTAGATGAAAATAGAAGCCAAAATACCTATGACAGAACATTCAAGGGAGAAAAAACAGCTGACGCAAAGGCCCTGAGGCAGACAAAGGATGCCTTAGGCACATGTGTCAAACACAAGGCCCGAGGGCCAAATCTGTCCTGCCAGGCCTTGCAATGTGGCCCGCACCGCGCTGTCATCACTGCACTCCGCTGCGTTTCCATCACAATGACAGTTTATGACTGTTCAGTAAACCATTCGGCCCGCGATTTAGGCTGGATTTTAGATTTTGGCCCCTTCTCTGATTGAGTTCGACACCCCTACCTTAGAGAAATGGGAAGCTGGCAAGCATTGCTGGAGGGGAGAGAGTGGGGCAGGCAGAATGCAGATCACATTGGACCTTGCAGAGCAGAGATGTGTGTATGCTTGAATGTAGGGTTTTCAGTAGGGAAGTGACATAATCTGACTCACATTTTCGTCTCTTTGGCTGCTGCAGGAGAATGGGCTGTAGGGATAATAATAGAAGCTGAGATAAGAGTTAAGTTGTTGCCATCAACCAAGCAGAAGATGTCAATGGTACAGGCTAGAGAAGGAGTGAAGAAATACCCAGGATGTGTGTAGGGCCTGTATCAGTAAGATGAGCAGATGTAGGTACACAGATGCAAAAACATAAAATTCATCATGTTCTATACTAGAATTTTTGTACTTCAGTGAAAATAAATTATATTAATTAATAAAAAAGAAAAAACGTAAGAGGCATGAAAGGCTAAAAGTGCTGGTAAGAGATTGAAATGTGGATTAAGGTTGAATTTGGGTACATGGAAATTACTTGATGTCTTTGGCAAAAGCAACGGCAGAAATTGGTGGAAGCAGAAGCTCAACTGAAATGGGCTGAAGAGAGAATGTGGAGAAGGGAAACAAAGATAGCAGCTAAAGACAACTTTTAAAAGAAGTTTTGCTGTGAAAGGGGATAAAATAACGAGAAGAGGGAGTGAATTAAGATAGGAAACCATGAACTGCACATAAAGTGTAAATTGTGTGATGAGGGGATGGGGGGAGACAGACAGGGAGGAGGCTCGGCAGGAGGAGTGCGGAAGTGAGAGGGGCCGTGCAGGGAACCACGGCCAGCTTTGGCAGCACCTCTCTAAAAGCATTGTGTGGCAAATACACAGTACTTACCGGCTCATGAAAAAAGGTGAAAAATCAGAAAATCAAGCCTACAACAAGCAGAACTCTGAGGTTATGTTATACTTTCCTTTTGTTCTACATCACTATTTTCTTTTTTAAAACGTGTTTTTAAAACATGAGTGTCCTCTGTAGCAAGGACTCCATGTTGCCTGAACCTGAAGGTCCAGATGTACCCACCACGCCGCCACCTTCCTGCGAGACTGAGGGCACACTGCTCCCGCGGTGTCACGTGGTGCAGGCTGCCCGAGCACACAAAGCCTACCCTCAGACTAAGTGCACGTGTGCACTGTGTGCACCAGGTGCTGGAGACACAGGAGCAAGGCAGACATGGCCCTGACCTCGGGAGCTCAGAGTCCTCACCACGGAGCAGCAGCGCAAACCAGGCCAAACCCTGGTTCAAAGCCAGAGTCGTCCTTCCACCATAGCAATTTTGTTCCCAAGATTAACTGAGATGATGGGAGTCCCAGTGCCTGACATATAGTAAGTGTCCAGCACTACTGACCAGACTCTGTGTAACAAGCATTGTGCTAGGCTGTGGTAGTGAACAGGAAAAAGTTGAGCCATTTATATACATATATATCATTTAATGGCCATCTCTATATATAAAAGCTGATATGCAAAATGTCCCCTCAAGAGTTCAATCTGGAGACCAGTTCAATCACTTGCTGTGACATGCACTGACCACCAGGGGTGTCTCGGAACAAAGTAGGAACCTGCAGCAGCAGGGCGCTGAGGGAGCGAGATAAGGAGAAAGCAGGGAAACAGGGCGGTGAGGAAGTGGGGAGGTGGGGAATCTGATCAGCCCTGATTGCTGGCCAGGCCTGGGGCCCTACCCATGCATGAATTTTGTGTATTGGGTCTCTAGTGATGAAATAAAGGGAGTACTGAAAAGGAGACCTTACAAGGGAAAGTGTGCAGCAGACTAAAGTCCTGTCAGATGTGTAAACCGGTGACTGGGCAGGGCGGCGAACAAGGAGAAGGGGAGAATCTCTGCAACTCGAGAATACTCTGCTTTCTTTTGCAGCCTTCCAGCGATGGAGACATCCAGGCTCCCACTCTGCCTTTCTGCGTCCTGTCTGTATGTCCTGGAGAAAAGCTGATCATCCCAGAGGCCTCCACATGGCCAGAGGCAGCTGTGTCAGGAAAAGAACGCCTGCTCACCTCAGAAAATCTCTTCCCATTAGTTCCTACTAGGCTTTTGGCTTACATGGTGATACTTGGCACACATGTCCAATTAGGTGCCCTTGTATTAGTAATGCTAATCTCTGCTTAATCTCACTTTAAATTTCCACTTTGATCTGAATTAACCAATCTTCCTCACTCTAAACAGCTTAATATGAAGTGAACAGCCCTCTATGGGGGTGAAAGTCGCTTCTTCTGGCGTATTACCAGTAGCATTTCTCCTTCAGCAACTAATGGCCTCCAAAATGCTGAGTTGGGGAGATATATTGAATTGAAACAGTCTTTACCCTAGTATTTCTCCAACTTTAAGAGATTTTGCCAGCAGTCTGTTTACCTTGCCTGTCTGCTTACTCATCTAACACAAGTTAAAAAAAAAAAAAAAAAAATAGAAAAGCCCTGGCTGGTGTTGCTCAGTGGTTAGAATGTCAGTCCAAGCATGGAAAGGTCTTGGGTTAGATTCTCAGTGAAGGGCCCAGTCAAAGTCACGTACCTGGACTGCAGATTCGATCCCGGCTCCCATTGGGACGTATACGTTAGGCAACCAATTGATGTTCCCCTCTCCCCCTCCCTCTCTTTTTTCCACTCTCTCTAAAAATCAATAGAAAAAATATCCTTGGGTGTGTATTAACAAAACAAAACACACACACACACACACACACACACACACGCTCTTAGAATAGCCACTGGCCTAGATAAAATTTATAACTTTGTTTTCCCAGTTATAAGAAACAAAACACTTCAGTGTGGAAGACTGGGGACCAGGCTGTGCAGGCCTTTCAATGTCAAACAGTATGCATGTGGAATTTATTTAACATTTGACAGTGGTTTCATTCATTCAACTAGTCAGTGTCTGAGCACCTGCCATATGTATGTCCAGGGTGACTGAAGCACCAAGTGCTTGGAGAGCACTGAGCAGTGACCACAAGCCAGGGCTTGGGTCAGGAAAGGCTTCTGGAGGACACGGCATCTAAAACAAGACCTGAAGGACAGGGGCCAGGTGAAGGGAAAGGAAGAAAGGTGTTCAGAGGCAGCGGTGACACGTGCAGTGTACAGAGGCCTGGAGACAGGAGAGAGCCTCTTCCTGGGAACTGCCAGTGGGTGGACAATTCAGAGGAATGACAGGACAAGAGACTGAGCCCAAGAAGCACACAGGGCAGATGCTGAATCTCACATGTGTGCTAAGGAATGCTTAACTACAATAGCAAAATAGCTACAAAATAATGCTATCTGATTTGTGGGGAAATATTTTAGAGACCAAGAGTGTTACAGTGCTTCAGACGAAAGATGTCAGTGGCCTGAACAAGTGCGGTGGCAGTGGGAGGGGGCAGCGTGCGAAGCCACCAGAGGCTGTGAAGCTAGACATGAGAGGACAGAGCCTGTAAGTGCGGAGGGGAAGGAGTCACAGGACACCTAGGCCTCTGCCTGAGGGATGGTGCCATTCACAGAGACAAACAGGCACAAGGGGAAGAGGGAAGCATCTGGGAGGGAGCACAGAGGGAAGCTGATGGGAAGGACACAGCAGGCTGACCGGGTCTTTATGCCCACCCAAGAGGCAGGGGAACACTGACACCTGAGGTGGATTTGAGAATGAAGACACGGGGATAGAAGGTATCCCATTGACAGTCTGTAACACACCGAGACCACAGACAATGGGGCCAACACTGAAAGTCCAAGATTTATTGATATTTAAGAAATGAGGAGAATGAAGAAATGACTGCCAGGTCAGCCAGCTATGCAGATGTTTCCATCACCCAAGAATTGGGATGGAGAGAAAGGAGAGGTGGCCCTGGCACAAGGTCTCACCGATCGGAGCCAGCTGAGGCGGGAAACTCCAGTGGCTTCAGAAGGCACGCGGACCTGTCCCTACCAGCAGAGGCCCAGATGCAGGAGGCCCTGCAGAAAGCGGAGTCTGACTTGGGGATGGGGAGGCTGGTACCCAAGCTCCTCAGAAGGGCAGGAGAGCAAGGGGTGACCCTCCGCCCTTCTCCTCCAAGTAGCCCAGAACACCCTGTCAGGACCCCCTCCCCCATTTCACAGAGAGGAACTGTACAAAACAGGCATTAATTTACACTGAGGCAAAGCCAGAATGGTCTTCGAGCTCCTAACTTAAAAAATGGTACCACCACATTATGAAGGTAGTGGTCAGGCCCATAATGTGTCCACCAACAAAAATGAATCACCATCTTCGGAAAAGAACTGAGTTACGATAGTTTAGCACCACAGTCCTTCGGTATTTCAATTAGCCTTTGCCTTCTGGCAAAGACGCATGTCTCCTGCACTGAAGTCAATGGAGCTATCCACGCCATAGTAGTCCACGCTTCCAGACGCACTTTCAGGCAAAAGGCAAACAGTAAGTGAAGTTGCCCTTGGCTTTATTCCTGACCCGAATATTTTCACTTCTCAGAAACTCTTGTCATTAATTTAGAAGAAAAGCAATAGTTTGGGAAGGCCTGGGGAGGGTTGGGAGTGGGGAGTTGGGAGTTGGGATGAGTAAGGGGACATTTATAATGCTTTCACCAATAAAGATAAATTTAAAAAGAAGAAAAATGGAAAAAAATAAAGCAGCCAAGAAGATTACTGGTGTAGAGGTAACCAAGTGCACATGGAAGCCTACAGGTGCCAACAGGGTGCTCCTGTCCGGAGGGTGGCTCCGTGTCTGCAGGGCTCCAGTCCCAGCCCTGCCACTCACCTGTTGTGGACACGTACCTAAGATTCTTCCCAATTAAAGGGTAATCATGAGAGTACCTGCCTCAGAGGGCACATCAGGGTTAAACTGGGTAATTTATGCAAAGTGCTTCGTCATGTACCTGGTACATAAATTCTCAAATCTCAGCCAGCACCACCATAATTCTGCTTAGTATTTAAAAGCCAGCAGCCAGGCAGTCTCAGTGCTGAAGGCAGCCTGTGCCCAGAACTTTGAGTTCTTCAGGTCTCACTGAATGGTTCACACACTCAGCACAGGCTCACTGAGAGCCCCGCTGGGGAACACATCATCCTCAGAAGTTTGTCTCTTGGAGGACACAGCCAGACACCCGGCACTGGGGCAGAATGTGATGAATGGGCAGGTGCACAGTGGGAGAAGGGAAGAGGTTGGTTTAAACAATAGAGTTTGGAGTGTATGTAATACTGGATGGCAAGAATCTGCAAAGACGAAGACACTGAAGATCAAAAAGAAATCAACAGGGGAAGCTCCTGATCAGAGGCCCAAGGAGAGAGACCCATGTTCCATGGGGCAGGCGGGAGGGTGCAGCAGGGGAAGACAGGCGGGAAACTGGTGGAGTCAGCAGTCACAAGGGAGATCACAGGTTAAATGGGAAAGTGGTGGATCTGGGGAGATTTCAGGAATGTGAAGAAAGCATGTAAATAACTGCTACCTAGAATTTGAAAATGAGGCTGGCCAGAGAAATACAGAAACAAATTTGTAAAAATGTCCCTATTAATAAATATGCTTTAAGAGTCAGTATTTGTAAGGGTAAAGAATATGGACTCTGCAATCAACAGCCTGGGTTATACCCCAATTCAACTCCTTTCTACCTGTGTGATCATGAGCCATTTGCTTAGCTCCTCTGAATTTCTTTCCTCGTCTTTAAAATAACAGTACTATTAGTCCCTTCCTCAAAGTTTTATTATTTTTATAATTTTGTTAGATTAAATAAAAGCGGTTAGAATGGAGTCTGGCATAAACGTTATATAAGTTCCAGCAATAATGAAAATAACCATTTTTAATATCTGCCAACCTTGTGAAAAAGGAAATACTACTTCCTTTTTTATTCTTTGGCAAGTTGAAACCCTTCTCTCTCAGACTGTCCGAATCCTCTAAATCTTGCAAGGAAGGCCCAGCTCACACTCCATGTTCCCTGGGAAGCTTTTCTTGGCCACGACAAGCCTTCCTCTTCTAAATTCCAGGGATACGAACCGTCTGTACCTCTAATTTATCATTTGGCAGCATACAGCACTGTGAACTTGTGCTTATCTTTTGGTACTTCAATGCCTGGTGTACACGACTGGATTGAAGGAGGGATCTTATTGTGCATGTCTATGCCCGTCTTCATGAGGTCTGGTGTCATGTACACGATGGGTGACATAAATTGACCAAGCACTCTGGATGAAGATAACCCACCTGATGACTGAGTTGTCCTCGCCAAGGGTCACCACGGTGGCTTCTGTGGCTTGGAGAGACATGAGTTTGGCAAGGGCTTCTGAGGTTTTGCTCTAAGAAATAACCAGAATGTAAAACAAGAACTATCATAGACTGACCCCTGCAGGACAAGTCTGCCCCCTAACACAGCACACAACAGGGCTATCTTGGCCGATGGGACGGACACTCCGCGCATCAACACAGCCTTGTCACCGCCACACTGAATGCACAAAGGCCACAGTTCACTTAATTACATTTCAGACTGAAAAAATAAAACCAATCTACCCACTGATAGTTTTCTTTTAGGTTCAAGCCCATTTCTTTCAGGGCCAGGGCCCCATTCATTTATAAGATACATTAAAATGCTGACTACAATGCAAGTTACTTAAAATGGCATGACCCATTTTTAATAACCTGCATTCATGGAAATGCGGATTTCTAGACTAAGAAGTAGTATACTCAGCTATGTACTAAGAGACAGTATGACCTCTGACCTGAAATCCAGGGTTCTTTTCATGACACAATGCACGGAACAAAGGTTTTAACAATTAACCAGATTAGCTGGGATTTCAGAAGTAGCAACCAATTTGGAGATTAGTGATCAAAGCACCTAATTATATGTAGGTTTCACATTTCTTTTAATTCTTGCTCTAATTGTATATAGTTAGTAATTCTACACATGGTGTTCAGATGTATTAAGATTTGTATTACTCAAGGAAGGGTTCTGGTAACATAACGCTGCACTCACCTTTGCTACGTGTTCCAGCCACCGGCCCAGGGCGATGAACACAAAGAGCATGGGGGGGGTGTCAAAGAATGTCACCGGGCTCCTCTCGGCCTTCTCCGCAATGGCCACCACCAGGATGACCAGAGAGTAGGCATAGGCAATGCTGGTGGCCAGCACGATGAGCACATCCATGTTGGTTGTTCTGTGACTCAGAGATTTGTAGGCCTGAACGTAGAAGTACCACCCACCGAGGAACTGAAAGACAGAGGAAGGGCTAGCTCAAACAAGCAGGCACAGTGTTCAAGGAGCGAAGGGAGGCCCAGAGGCCCCTTGAGCTGGCAAATACTCTAGGCTCACCCACAATTTTGAGGTTATTTTTTCCTCTATAATCAATGTTTTTTAAATATATTTCCTAACTCAGAGGACTAATGGCCACAGGAATGGATAGTCAAGGGCATGGGAAACTCTCAAAACTCAGAGTACACAACCTAAATGCCCATGGTGACAATGGTAAAATAAATCCCGCTTCATTTATGCTGAGGCCAATACTATGTAGTCCCTCTGAAGAATGTGTTAGATCTATAAGCCACTAGAGTGAAAGATGTACACGATTAAGTGGAAAAGGCAGTTATAAATTACTACATTTAATATGATGGGCCTGCCTTACATGAACATGTATATGTACACATTACATATGTAAATATTACCTATGTGGATAAAAGATACACAACCAACTAGTAATAATAATAAGGTGACCTTGGGGAATGGCACTGGGCTGGAGGCAGGGTGCCAGCAATGAAAATATATCTTCTTCTTTTTCCTTTTTACTTCAATATGGCTTGCATTGTTTACAATAAATGTGCATTACATTTGGAATTAAAAAGAAAATACAGGAAAAAATAACATAAATTCTGCCCCTTGATAGTCCGAAACATTTTGATATTAAGTCAGGAGTTTTACTTTATAACCCAAAAAATATGGAGGCCACACTTCCTAATAGAAAGACGGCCAGTTCCTTAATATCGCCCCCTAGAAGTTCCCTGAGGCCCGTCTCTTTTGAATTATAATTTCCTCAGAACCACATTTCTGCCTCTCAAGATAAGACATTAGAGAGAAGCTTGAGATACACCATGAACTAACTGCTGCTTCTAACAACAAAGGTAAATTAAGCTAAATGAAAAGCAAACTGAAGTGCTCGCTTCGGCAGCACATATACTAAAATTAGCATGGCCCCTGCGCAAGGATGACACGCAAATTCGTGAAGCGTTGCATATTTTTTTTAAAAGTAAAAGGAAAAAAAAAAAGAAAAGCAAACTGAAGACAACTGGTTCACCAATCCTTGCAGCAAGGTCGTTGCTCTGTCAGTCAGATGTCAATCATCTGCAACCAACAGTGAAACTGACAGAGAAACAACATTCTCCTAAGTCCTCTGTGGCACAGGACACCCACTGCTGGACATAAGATGGAAAAGCAGCAGTGGTTCAGAAAAGCTGCAATAAAGTGCTGGTCACGAACAAGCATGAAAGACACAGGTTTGACCCTTTTTCTGATACGCACCTGGACAAAAGTACACAAGATAAGGAAGATGAGATTTAGAATCGACAATCCTGGAATGATGTTTTGATCCAGGGCCATAGACCCATGGGGTTCTTTGCTGGGTATTAACATATAGATCATTATACCCATAACAGGGACGCCAAACACCAGGCTGCACAGGAAAGATTTCTTCCACCTGGAAAGCAATGAGCAATACCGACAGATCAGGTACCGCCTGCCACTTGGATCACGGCTGGGCCTCTTCTGAGAACTGAGAACTCAGCTTAAGCTTTGCCTTTGTCACATGTGTGGGGCAAAATGAAAGTGCTAAAATGAAAGAAAAGCTCTCTGTCTGACACAGGCCATTTGAGGTCTAAACTTTGCTGCAAGGACATTCCTGAGATCTTTAGAACCAGCTCATGCCTGCCTTTGGCTGATGACGTGTTACCTCCAACCTACAGGTGAGGCAACCGAGGCCCAGAAGCAATCTTATGCAAACTCCCAAGAAAAAAATATATAAAAGTAATCTTTTATTAGTATTAACTTACTTAGACATTTACTTTTAAAACTACACCAATAAAAGAGAAACATGCAAATTACCATCTCTCCACTATGCCCACCAGTCAATCATGAACAAATATGCAAATTAACCCAACAAAGATGGCGGGGCGGTGGCCATGGGGCTGGAGCTAGCCGGAGGCTTGGGTTGCCCCTGGTGACAGAGAAGCCAAGCTTCCCACCTACCCTGGAGGTGGGGGGGGGGGGGAGAGAAAGGAGGGGCTAGGAGCCTGGGTCACTGGGGGGCGTGGCCAGCCTGAAAACAGCCCTCAGCCCCCCACCCAGGCTGGCCAGGCACTCCAGTGGGACCCCCCACCCTGAAGGGGCTGTGACCAGCCTGAAAAGAGCTCGCAGCCCCACACCCAGGCTGGCCACACCCCCATGGAGTAAGAGTCTCTGCTGGGGGGCGTGGCCAGCTTGCAAACAGCCATCAGCACCTCACCAAGGCTGGCCAGGCATCCCAGAGAGGACCCCCACCCTGAAGGGGGTGTGGCCAGCTTGAAAACATGGGGGCGTGGCTGGACTGCAAACCACCACAGGCCCCTAGCCCAGGCCATCCCATGCCCCAGGGAACCCCCACCCTGATCCGGGGCACCCTTCAGAGCAAACCAGCTGTCCCCTACCCATGTACCATACTAGTAAAAGGGTAATATGCTAATTAGACTGGGAGACCTTCCAGGAGACCTTCTGGATGTTCTTCTGGACAAAGCCATGGTGGAGGGGCTGAGGCCAAGAGGGGAGGGCAGTTGTGGATGATCAGGTCAAGATAGGATGGCAGTTGTGGGTGATGGGGGGGGGGGGGGTGGAGGGGAAGAGAAGGGCAGTTGGGAGTGAGCAGACTAGCAGGGGGGCCAGTTGGAGGCAAGCAGGCTGTCAATGGGGGTCAGTTGTAGGTGATCAGGACAGTGGGGAGGGGGCAGCAGGCAGAGTGGTTAGGGGCAATCAGACAGGCAGGTGAGCAGTTAGGTACCAGCAGTCCCAAATTGCGAGAGGGATATCCAACTTAGGCCCGATTCTTATAAACTGGCAGTAGGACATCCTTCGAGGAGTCCCAGATTGGAGAGGATGCAGGCCGGTCTGAGGGACACCCTACTCCCACCCCCGTGCACTGAATTTTGTGCACCTGGCCACTAATACTCAAAATAGTTAGGGAGAACAGTGAAGCTGTCTTATTGAACACTGAAATTTGAAACGGGGGTTGGTCATCAGTGACAGCTGTGGTTTCACATTAGCTTCAGCATCCATGAAATTCTAACCAAATGGTTGTCGGGACTGATGCGCCTTAATTGAAAACAATGCCTATGAGATTCAAGTCTCATCTCCTCGGGAGGCCATCCAAGACCCCAAGAATTATCCCTCACTGGCTTTTCAGATGCCTCTCATGCCGGCCCTCTGTTGCAGGCCAACCAACCACAGGAAACCACCTAAGAGTCCCTGAAGTTCCCTGCCTCTGTGCCCCTAGAATGCCCTCACTTCCACACCCCCTCAGCCTGGGGAACTTCCACTCATCCTCAGAGGCCCAGATCATGTGTCCTCTGCTTCTTAGCTTCCAGACTTCCCAGAACTCACTTGAATCATCACTTATCCACTCTTCCCCAGCTAGGGAATGGGCACCTCAACGGTAGGGACATTCTATTCATCCCCTACACTTAGCACAGTGTCCTGCATATGACAGTGGCCTTTTTTATTGAATGAATATGTGAGCATCGGAAACAATGAATGAACTCAGATCTTCTGCTTTCCAGGCTATTTCCTTTCCAATTGGCTATGATTCTTGTCCTTGGATCACAGTTCTAGAACCCATTCAAATAGATTATCAAAATACTGTAAATAAAAAATCCATGCTCCCTTCCTTCCAACTTAAGTGCTGTCCTTAACCAGCTGGTGTGGCTGAGTGACTGAATGTCAACCTAGAAACCAGGAAGTCATACTTCAATTCCTGGCCAGGGCACATGCCTAGGTTGTGGGCTCCATCCCTGGTAGGAGGCAAGCAAGAGGCAGTTGATCAATGAATCTCTCATGATATTTCTGTATCTCTCCCCCTTCTTCCTTCCTCTCTGAAATGTGTGTGTGTGTTGTCCCATCTGTTAGCCACCAGTTATAGGTGGTTAGTTAAATTAAAATTAGTTAAATTAAATGAAATTTAAACTTTGGTTCCCTAGTCAGATTAGTTGCATTTTGAGTACTCAGTAGCTTAGCTAGTGGCTACCATTACGGGCAGAGCAGAAATAGAACGTTTCTGTCATGGCAGAAAGGTCTGGTGAACAGCACTAGAGGTTTAACATAACAAGAGTAAAGGCAACCAATCCAGTGGATAACACTGTGGGAAATCAGGGAAGCAAGAGCTTCAGTTGATCTTTTCTGTTCCACCTACTGCTTTATTTCCGTCTTGTGGTCCAAGTGATGAGCGTTGGGGTTTCTCTGGGCCAGGGAAGCATGATAGCCGATTTCCTTATTATTAAAAGAGACGGGTGGGGGAAACAAAGAGAAAGGCACTTGGTTAAAACGTGCATTGGTAGAAAGCATTTTACATCTTTCGATATTAGAAAGCTAATTTAAAATTGCCTTAGAGAAATGTACTGTGTTTTCCTCCCACAACTTCACCCAAATCACTTTATGAATCCTGTCAGAGGACCCACACTATCTACGCTTAGAGGCTGCAGCATCCCAAGGAGATGGTTTCAGATGGCAATTCCTGTTCCTTCTGTCAACAAAGGCAGCAGGCTCTGGAGATAATAGCGTGTGCCCCACGCTGATCAGTGTTGAGTTGTAAACTCAGAATCTCTGAGTTAAGGAATCCTAAATAGAGTGGTCAGCTGCTCTCATTCTCTGCAGGAGGAAACTGAGGGTCAGGGAGGTTAAATACTCTGCCCAAAGGCACGGCATTATCAGAATACCCGGAGCCACTGCTCACTTCTCCAGGCTCTCAACCCAGGCCTCTTCCCTCGGAGCAGACCTGGGCTACTTCAGTATCTGCAAGCTGTCACTTCCACTGAGACCAGAGTCCGCACCTCCTTCTGATGTCAAGGATTACCCCAAACATTTCCTTTGCTGCCTCTCTTCTTTGCCCTCTCCGCCTTATTTGATCTGACCACTAATGTCTCTAATACCCTTTGGGAATACAAACAGAAAAAGCTGTCAGGAAATGTTCTGTCAGCTAACACAAAATAAAGAAGGGCTCCACAACTCTTGCACTGGGATTTCATGCAAAAATTAAAGCTATGGTGGGAGAAAGAGCATCTAAGATAGTCTGAAGACAAATCCTTACACAACTAATACCACCCGAATTATATTAGGAAAAGATGGACCAGAATCACAAGAATGGAGGCCAGACATTGGCAGTCTACCTCCAGTAAGGGCATGAGGGGGGCCATGCCAAGCTTAGAGAACAGCATGGAGGCCAGTGAGGGCATTATTCAGGAGAAGGATACTGAGCCATGTTCAGAGTACCACCTTGACTCTCCCTACCACTTAGTATATCAGTCTGACTTCTTAGCCAAATCAATGCCATATCACAGACCTGTAGTGTGGTAGAAATAGAAAGGCTGGTTAAGAGCTGTGTTTGAAAGACAGTCCTGCAACCTTTAGCTGGGCATCAGTGAACAAAGTACTTAGCCCCTCTTGGGATCTTTCCTCATCTGATGATGAAGCTGTGCTGTCTGTCTGTGAGTATGAGGCACTGTCCAGCAGTGCAGAGTGACAGTATTATTTGCATGTCAAAAAGCTCTGCCAAGCCATTCAACAGACATCCCTCTTCAAACACATGCATGCAGCACACACACAGTGAAAAGTATAGACAAAATTAAACCTGCTACAAGATGTTTCCTTTCATTAGAAAGTTCTTAAGCAGTTGTTACCATTAAACTTCATCTACTTTCACCTTTAGTTGTTACAAGTTAATCTTGTTCGGTTTTGACTGTCTTAACCCATTAAGATCACCACTAATGCTCTTCCTCTTATGGTGCAGTATAATACAGATCTTAAGAAGGAAATGGTATGTCTGTGGACAAACTGAGTGGAACAAGAGGTAGGGAGTGTGTGAAAACTATTCTAATTGATTTTCCGAAGGAGAAATTACCAAACTCTCCCATTATAAAGCAGGCCAAGCATAATGGCAAATGCATATATTTCTTTCAAATATCAAAATTTCTTTAGTCTATAAATACTTGGAACAGACATAAATCATACCTAAAAAGTATACTTAGGTGCCAAAACTGGTTTGGCTCAGTGGATAGAGCGTCAGCCTGCAGAACCGTAACCAGCTTCGATTACGGTTAAGGGCATGTACCTTGGTTGCGGGCACATCCCCAGTAGGGGGTGTGCAGGAGGCAGCTGATTGATGTTTCTAGCTCTCTATCCCTCTCCCTTCCTCTCTGTAAAAAAATAAATAAATAAATAATATATATGTTTAAGTATACTTAGGTGATTTAACTCCATGTACCAGGTATCTTGGCAATATTGATGTTTCTCAGGGAATATCTGAAATTAAAACAATAACATCTTTTTTTCCTCCAACATTCTTATTCATTCACTGCTTTTCCTCTTACAATATATGATATTCACTTAACTGCAGTTTATTTTGTAATGCTTCACTTTATATACATTGGAAAAGTTGAAGAATTTTAGGTGACCTTTTTCTCTTAGCTATATTCTCTCTCTCTCATTCTTAATAGGTATAAATTAGTTTTTAAAAAGATGGGAATAATTTCTTAAATGACTGACTTACCTCAATAATTCTGACAATATCCCTCGGACCGGTAACTTCAGGGTCAAACTTCACATGGGCTTTGCTGGTGGCCAGGGCCACGGAGGCATGGGTGATGCCATTCGTCCTCATGAGTTTGGACTCTATGTTGTGAACACAGGAAGCGCAGGTCATCCCAGTGATCTGCAGCACAAGATGACAAAAATCCTGCTGATCCAGAATAAAGAGGCACACAGGCAGCCAGAGCTTCTGAGCCCCCCCTCCTCTCACAGCACCCTCCCCAAGACTGCACTCCCACCTTCAAACCCTGGGAGCAACATCTTCACCCCGATCCTTCATCCAGGGGCATCAAGAATAGAAACAGTGGTTCTTCCCCAACTCTGGTACAGGAGACACAGCCACTCTACTAAGCAGATGGCAAATGGCGGAGGCATGACTTCTGGCTCTGACAACTATGGGCTTTCATCGGCCAACTAATACTCTGTCTCAGACATCTCACCAGCAACACCAGAATAATAGCACATGGCCCTTCTCTGCCTCAAACTGGTAAGGATGTGCAACTCCACAAAATCCTCTGAGCTCTTGAAATACTCTCTATGGTCCCAAGTATTGCTGGTATCTAGTCTGTAGCTGTGGAATGTCAATAACTTATTATCAACAGGAGAAAATGATTTAGATTTAGTAAGTGATCAGTTAATGGGATTTGAGGCAGTCCCAGAGAATGAATAGATCATTTCCAGGTGAAAGTAAGGATAACCAGAGAGAGAGAAGCATGGGAAAAGACAAAAGGCAAGGCAGCACGTGGTGTTCTGACAACCATCAATAGTCAGCGTTGGCAGGGCACAGGATATGCAATGAAGAGGAAGCCTGCCATGTTGGCTGGCACCACATGAAGATCTCGAGCACCCAACTAAAAAGGGTAGCTAAGCCCTGGCCAGGTGCTCAATGGTTAGAGCGTCAGCCCTCGGACTGAAGGAGCATAGGTTCGATTCTGGTCAAGGGCATATACCTTGGTTACAGGCTCAATCCCTGGCCCCTGTTGGGGCGTGTATGGAGGCAATCAATCTATATATGTCTCTCACATAGATGTTTCTCTCTCTTTGTCTCTCCCTCTCCCTTCCATTCTAATTAAAAAATCAATGGGGAAAATATCCTCAGGTGAAGATTAACAAAAAAATAATAAAATAAAAAATAAAAAGGATTGCTAAGCCAGCACTTGATGGGAAGTCATGGAAGGATGGGAAGTCACTGAGGGGTAATGAGTACTGGAATGAGACTAGAGCTGCACTTTGAAATCTGGTCAGTAATCCAAGAATCAAGTAGTAGAAGAGATGGAAGAGTCCCTTGTGGAATTAGGGGAAAAGGAGAAGCAAGCTCTTCTATAATGGGATAGAAGGAAGAGAAGGAAAGGGAGTAACATCACGCAGACAAGAAGCTTACTGGCTGGCATGTGGCTGTGCAAATAGAATTTTATAAAGTCTACAAATATTCCAACGTTGCTTCTAAGCTATTGTTTTACTTTAATAGCAGTAATAGGTAACACTTACTGCACACTTGCAACTTGCCAGGCACTGCCCTAGGCACTATCTTGCTCACATCAACCCTTCAAGGTAGAACTCAGTAACCCCAGCACTAGGAGTTTAGGAATGCATCCAGTCTCACACCAGCGAGTGGCAGAGCTGGAGCCTGGCTCTGCACTCGGCAGCAAGCACCAGGAGGTGATCTCACAGACACATCCCTGCAGCGAGAGCCTGAATTCAAGCCCTGTGCAAGCTCTGCTGCTCTGCCATGCCCTGCTATGTATCTTGACTTGAGAAACAGGAATGAGACATTCCATCCCTGTAATTATGTAGAAGGCAAATCAGATAATTCACTCCTCCAAGTCTCAGTGGACATTTCCCAGAACACCATTACATACAAACAAAATGTCTAAACATGTGATGACAAAAACATTGCTCAAAAAAGTTTCACCTTTCCCAACAAGATTCTTGGTTCAGATTTTTCCACACCACAGTGGTCTGAGCAGGGTGCCTGCTTGAGCCGTAATCCAGTGAGTATCACTCACCCTTTCCCACTCAACACACATGGGAGGCCCACCCAAAGCAAAGACTTCACTCAACAAAGAACCACTTATCATCAGGTCAAAGTGCCATTCGTGTCCTTAATACTTATTCTTCAAACATTTACTTACTATTAGGCAATGACTAAACATAGGAAGGAAGTAAAAGATTCTTTTACCTTAGTAACACAGCATTACTCAATTCCTTGTGCATTTTTTCTATGCTTGCTTTATTTACACAAAACAAGGTTTGTACGTAAGTGCTTGTAAACATAGCATTTTCAAAATAGTAGACATGCCTGTTGTTTTCAACCATTTGTTGACACATGCAGCTGGCAGCAATGGACAGAAAACACACCTCGCACCCCCCACCCCCTCCACACCACCACCACCACCACCACCACCACCACCACCACCACCCTACCCCTGCCACCATGACCACACTGGGAACAGCAACTGTACTTGGCCTTCACCCAGACTGAACACTTTGGGACAATCCTGTCACCAGTTACCTTCTGGATGCCCCTGTGCCCACTACAAGCCCCTCCACCTATAATGACACCGGCTACAATGCCAATTCACCTCCTCTAGCTTCAAGACACCACGGCCATTCTAGTTTCCTCTATGCAGGCTGTATGGAGTGTCCCTCTTCAATTCCCTCCAACCATCAACTCGGGACAGTCGCCATTTTAATTAAATTCATCTTCCTCCGACACTCCCACCATCTCCTCCTCCTTCTCCTAATAGCCTGAGTGTGCTCAATGGGATTCACTCCTGTGACTTTTCTGACGTAACAAACATTCCTTTGCAAAATGAAAAGGTCCTGTAGGCTTCAATACAAAATAATACAAAGAAAACAACAGCAAACTTGATATACGCAAGATGGGGAAAGCTGACTGATCACATTTGCAGGTTGTCAGAGGCCTGCCACCCGCTAACCCCAGCTCCAGCTCAGTCACTGTACTTACAATCAGCTCAATGTCGCCATCGGAGCCCGTGTAGTCTTCCATTACTGTTGCCCCAAAGCCCAAGTTCTGGATGAACTGAGCTATCTCGAGTGGTTGGATGACTTCTGGATTGTACTTAACTTCTGCCTTTCCGGCCATCAAGGCAACCAGCACAGAGAGAATACCTGAAACCATCAAGCTACAGCTGTAAGACACTAGGCAAGGTCTCTGGGTGTTCAACATAACCTAGAAAAACAACAACAACAACAAAACATCTGCCCCTGAAGTCTCTGGAACAGTGATTCTCAAACTTAGCCTGCACATTAGGACCGTTTGAGGAACTTTTAACTACCATCATGCCTGGCTCTTAACCCAGACCAATTAAATAGGATCTGCAGGTGAGTGTGAGGCATCTTTTTCAAAGCTCCCCAAGGGATTCTAATGTATAGCCAAGAATGTGAACCACTGTTCTAGAACAATATTTCTCATGCTTCAATGGGCATATGAGACACTTTGAAGACCTTATTAAACTACAGACTCTGGTTCAGTGGGTCTGGGGTAGTATCTGAGGTTCTGCAGGTCAGCCAGCTCCCAGGTGCTGCTGGCCCGGGAGGCCCCTCTGAGTAAGGCTGTAGGATATCCGATGGGTGCAAGCATCTCAAAGCAAGGGATCTAGTCTGCAGCCAGCAACTACTGTTACAGTAAAGATATACTTTTTCTTCAGTCACTTTCTTTTTTTTTTTTTAAATATATATATTTTATTGATTTTTTACAGAGAGGATGGGAGAGAGACAGAGAGCTAGAAATGTCGATGAGAGAGAAACATCGACCAGCTGCCTCTTGCACACCCCCTACCAGGGATGTGCCCGCAACCAATGTACATGCCCCTGACTGGGATCGAACCTGGGACCTTTCAGTCCGCAGACCGACGCTCTATTACTGAGCCAAACCGGCTTTGGCTTCTTCAGTCACTTTCATATAAAGAAAAATAATTTTCAAAACTGGTTTTCCATATATTTTTTTCAGTTCCTGATCATTCCAAGAAGTGAAGAAAAAAAAATCCCATGGACTATCTTGCTAATAACACTATTGTATTTGTTTAAGGGGGAAAAGGTTTATTGACATAGATGAAAGCAACAATGTGCTTTAAAAATGTCATAAGGGACCTGACCAGTATTCTCAGAGGTTAGATCATCAGCCTGAACACCAAAGGGTCATGGGTTTGATTCCTGGAAGGTAGTTACCTTGTTGTAGTTTGTTCCCCACCCCCTGATGGGGTGCATGCGGGAGGCAACTGATCAATCTGTCTCTCTCAACAACTATTGATGTGTCTCTCTCACGTCAATGTTTCTCCCCTCCCTCTCTTCTTTCTTCCCTCTCTCCCACTCTTGTTCCCTTCCACTCTCTTGAAAAGCAATAGAAAAAAAAAAATCCTTGAGTAAGGATTAACAACAACTACAAAAAAAATGCCATAAAGGATAAAAATAAGGGATTCAAGTCAGAACAGAAACATAGGCACTGTGAGATCCAGGTTAATTTTATGGTAGCCTTTCTGGGGGTGACAAAGGAAGTCTTTTTAACACCTCACTTTGAACAAGGTCATTCTAAAGCTCCTGGGAGCTAAAAGAGGCTAGACAAAGTGTCACCCTAATTTAGGGTTGACTCTGAGGGCCAGGGAGACACATCAGAGAGACACATGAAAACACTGGAGGGAGAAAAAGGAAAATTTTTCTAACTCTGGTGGCATGGGAAGGTCATGGTTAAAATATTTTCCAAACAAAAATTTGGGAATATTGAAATATTAAGAGAATATTGAACATGTGGTTTGGAAGAAGACTTTGGCAAATCCACAGCACTCTATAGTTTACAGGAGGGAAAAATGAAATATTTGAAATTGGAACTTCACAAAATACAGGCTATTTATTCACTTGATACTAAGAGGTTGATGAAATTTGGAGGAGAAAGTTAAGGATACTAAAAGGACAAGCCAACTGAGAGGCTACCAATGGAATGTGCTATGACCTCTAAAGTGGAATTCCCATAGTTAACTTATTCAGACACATTTATCTCAAACAAACTAAATACCTCTTAAAGAACAGATGCCAACTGCCCTCGAACATTAGGTAAACATGTATATTTCATATAATAAACTTGCTTCCAGATTATCAGGGTTACTGATAAATGCAAACAGTGGAGACTGAAAGGACAGCATGGTGCCCCATTTTGCTGAATTCAGTGTTGGACAGTCCAGATGCAGCATTCCCAGTAGAACATGGGTGGGCATAGTCTCTTACCGGCTTTTTTCAGCAGGTTTCTCTCTATGTTAGACACACAAGAAGCACAGGTCATGCCTGTGATCTGTAAAAAGCACTTCTTTGGTGTCACTGTTGTAGAGGCTTGTGGGGACTTTGCTGAGAGGCCAGAGCTGTGGATTTTAGGGGTGCCCCCAGCATGGCGAGCCACTTTCTGTACAGAAACAGGCATGCCAGTTGTAGTCTGTGCTGTGGAATTTGCCACACTGTGCTCTCCAATATGGTTGCCAGGATAGTCTGCTGGAATAAAATGTCAGAAATCATTCAAGTTAGAATAAATACTTGAGATTTTCTTCATAGCCAGAGGTCAAGCCTGACAATCTACCTAATAGAATAGTAGAATGCTAATTGACCATACCTTTACAACACCCACCAGCCAATAAGGAATGAGTATGCAAATTAACCCAACAAAGACCTTGGGTTAATTTGGGTACCTGGGTGCAGAGCAGCTGGGGTGGGGCAGGAACTCTGCGTCCATCGCCACGGCAACGACGCAGGTGTTCCTCCCCACCCCTGGCAGCTCCAGGCCTCCGAGCAGCGTGAGAAGGCAGAAAGGTGGCTCTGGCCTGGAGCGAAGGCGGTGCCGGCAACCAGGGAAAGGAAGGCCCACTATGGCAGGAATCTTTGGGCATCCGGCTTCTAGTATTCAGATAAAAGCTTGGAGAGGTTACATCGGTTGGCCATTTCATCACTGTTTCTCTCTTAGGCACACAATTACAGATACATGAAATATGCCAATACTTGAAGAATGAAATGGTCTTGTTAGATGAATGCTCTAATTAGATGAGGATAATAAAAAGAACTCACCAGGCACTTTGCTAAACACATGTGTGACCTCCTTTAATCTTAAAGTAGCTATGTGATAAATACTACTATTATTCCCATTTTATAGATAAAAAAAATGAGTTACATGAAATTAATAATTTGACCCAAACCCCTTAGGTTGTAATAGTGAAGCTAGCTTTGAACCTGGTCTGTTTAACTATAGGCTCTGTTCCTTTAACTGTTATTACATTCTAGTTAGCAGAGGTTTGCTCCCTCCCCATGAGAATCAAAACGATCCAAAACATTTTACTGAGTTGTCTGTCTTTTTCTTATTGTTTACAGAAGTCTTATATATTCTGGACATGAATCCTTACTCAGTGGATTGAACTACATATATCTGCTCTCAGTCTATGGTTTATGTTTTCACTCTCATCTAATGGAGTCTCTTTTGATAAAAGAAGTCCTTAATTTAATGAAGCCCATTATCCATCAATCAGGCCTATGATATACTTTAAATTAACATTTATATATGTATGAGGTGATAGTCAAGGATAACTTCTTTCCACTAGGATATCCTATTGATCTGGCCCCATATACTGAAAAGACCATCCTTTCCCCCACTAAATTATAAGGATTTGGGGGAGCTGTTGTTCTTTCTTCCACAAATGTATACACAGATGTAACTGATTTTTGTCAAACAAATAAAATTACAGAATGTTTTCATCCAGAGTCACATGATTTTAGTGATACAAAATAGCTATGATGTAGAAAAGATAATTACATAACTTAATGATGAAATCCCATTTGAAAATCCACTGCTGCAGAAGATAAAAGTTGGCATTAACCTGTATTGACAAAAGACCATGAATTTTAAGTTTCCCTTCTGAATAAATCTCAAATCTTAGAATGTTTTGCTCATTTTCTGAAATGTGCTCAAATTATTTACATTCACTTTAAGAGTCCAGGTGATCAACACTTTCAGCACCTTCATGGAAGATCCTCAGTACTCTGGCCTTCCAGGACCCCTACCGTATTGCTGCAAAGACACAGTTCACTCTCCTAGACTTTATCATTGTTCAAAATGACTCTACCCCTGCTGTCTCAATCTCACAAATTTTATTCTATGGCCACCTCTTAACACTCCACCTCCTGTACCCATCGACCCTCCTGTACCCATCAACCTCTTCCTATTTTCCCTGTCCTCTGGATTCACCTGCCTTTCTATCCAAATATCGTGGTCAACAACCTCCATAATATTCATGCTATTATAGAGCACATCATACCCTTACTAACCTACAATTTACACACTGCTATTTTCAACATTGAGGTCTGATTCAACTAAATTCTGGGCTTCTGGAGCTTGCTAAAGAAAGTTAAAATAAGTTAACAAAAACCTATACAAGCTTAAGCTACTGGAACTTTTATTAATCTATATGAACACCACGGGTGAGCATATAAATTGAATAGGCTTTCTAGATGATTACTTGGCAATATGTATTATTAAGACCAGTTCCTCTAACTGCTTGGTACTTAGTAGAGGTACAATAAATATTTGTGTTGGAATTTAATAATGTTTATACCTTGTGACCCAGCATTTGTACTTTCAGATATTTAATAAAGTATGTATACAAAGATTTAGCCTTAAAGATGCCCATCAGTATTATTTACAATCACCTGAACACAAAATAGATGGGAACAGTCTACGAGAACTCTGACTAAGTAATGGTACAGCCATATGATGGAACACTATGCAGATATAAGAATGGAGCTTACAAGGATGATTATAATAAATTGCAGAGGAAAAAAAGATATTACAAAACTATGTCTAAAATAAACCTACATATTTATAAATATAAATTATATATGCTTTGGGAAAAGTCTTCAAGACCATATATGAACTGAAGTGAACCATGTGGACTTTGAGGGAAGAGAATTCCAGACAGAGATGACAGCAACAACAAGCCAAATATGAGGACTCCAAAGGGGTCAGAAAGGTAATGGGTGAGGAAGGGGGCTTCTATTGTACATCACCATAAGGGCTCCTCCTCTTACAATATGAGAAGGGAGAGTTTTGGAGCATCAGCAGAATAATAGGATCTCTGTGAATGCTGGGCAGGGAAAACACTGCAAGAATGAAAATCAGGAAATAGAGGCACCTGTTCAGAGCCTCTTGCAAGATCTAGGAGACAGATAGTAGTGGTGGTGACCAGGGTGCTGACCTGTGCAACCTTATACCCAAGCTTCATCTAAACCAGACTGCTTTTAAGACATACCCAGAGGACTCCTGTCTGTGGGCCTATGTTTGTGTCTCCTCTGCCCAGTGTGCCTATGAAATCTTAAACATTCTGATATCCCATCTAAGCCCTCCTCCAACACTACCTCTACCATCAAGTCTCTGGGAGCCCCAAACCAGATGCTGGACTTTCTCCTTTACCAACACCTTACTTGTTGCAATTATTCCAAACCTGCCTTGGATGATGGGTCTCTGTGATCTGCTACCCCACCGAACCACACACAGGCAGGTGCTAGACTCTGAGTACAGTGCCTGAGACCCAGAAGATCCTCGACACATGCTGGTACGAGAGAACCGTGCCCAAAAAGTAGTATTACGTACTTACAACAGTGATTAGGAATATGTTATACCTAACAGATGACTTTTCCTCACACTATATTCATATATCTATCCACCTATCCATAAATTTATTCTTCATTCAAAAAATAGTTACCATGTAATCAGTAAACAGATGCAGAGCTGCCTTCTAGATAAAAAACCAGGTCTAAGTGTATTCTTCGCTGTCAAATTATAACTGCAAAAACCTTATTTTCTTTAATCTGGACTTTTATTTCTCCTTTTCCCTTGACTCAACTGGCCTCACCCAGCAACCTGACTCAACCACCTCCCTCTCCTTTGCTTAATCATTAAGCCCTCAGGACAATGAGGTTCTGGTCAGCACCCAGTAGTCTTAGGATCAAGGTCCTATAGTAGGGGTGTCGAACTCAATCAGAGAAGGGGCCAAAATCTAAAATCCAGCCTAAATCGCGAGCCGAATGGTTTACTGAACAGTCATAAACTGTCATTGTGATGGAAACGCAGCGGAGTGCAGTGATGACAGCGCGGTGCGGGCCACATTGCAAGGTCTGGCGGGATGGATTTGGCCCGCGGGCCTTGTGTTTGACACATGTGTCCTATAGAGACAGAGTTTTCAGTCCAACTAAAGACAATATCTTGGCCTCAGTTGTGTTTTAGTTCCTGATCAAGGAAAGTGGAAAGATCTCACAGAATAAATCCTTGCAAAGTTGGACAGAGTAACTCCATAGCTGACATTAGGACCAAATGCAATGATGAATTACCCTATCACAACTCTAATTCCTTTAGTCACTATGACTAATGACCTTTTCCCTGTATAATCCACCCCCGGAAGCCGTCGGGGAGCCAGGTCATTGAGCACGAGCTACCTGTGACTCCGGGCATGGCACCATCCCCTTCACAAATCCTTACTTTCTTGGCTACAAACTCCTGCTCATGTCTTATTGCCTTTGATGTGTGCACTTTGCTGTGTGCAGGTAAATGGCCCTTTTCAGTCTGGTAACACAATAAGATGGCTGAAATTCAAAGCCTGTCACTTGCCTATGTGCTCGCACAGACCTCCCTTCCTGCCCTCCGCTTCATCATTAAGGTTCTGACCAATGCAAACCACTTACCCAGGCTTTCTTGTCAACTAGTGTCTGATTAAATTTGGCACACAGGAGGTAAGAAGTGGGGGTGATAGTACAGAAAGGGGGGAAATAAAAGTGTTTCCCTTCTGTCTATTACAATCCCAGCTCCTGGCTCTAGCCTTTCTTTTTGTTGTTGTTGTTGTTAATCCTCACCTTGAGGATATTTTTTTTTTCTTGAGGATATTTTTTCCATTGATTTTTAGAGAAAGTGGAAGAGATGGGGAGAAGAAAGAGAAACATCAATGTGAGAGAGGCACATCAATTGGTTGCCTCCTGCATGTGCCTGGACCAGAGCTGGGAATCAATCCTGCAGCTCGGGTACATGCCCTTCACTGATTACCAAACTGGAAACCCTTCAGTTTGCAGGCTGACACTCTACCACTTAGCAACACTGGTCGGGGCCTGGCTATAGCCTTTCCCTTCTTAGTTTCAATAGCACCAGTTGCCACCAGGCAACCGTGGCCTTGGGCTCTTATAACGCCCTCTTCCCTCAGAAGCACCAGCCTGCAGGTGGTGGCTTCTGCTAGTGCTAATCTAGGGTTTCCTTCCTATTCTGTTTGGTTTTTCAGCTAAAATCTCTGTAAATAATTCCCTAGATTACAGCCCTCCATGGAGCTACCCTGTGACCCTGCTGGTCACAGCCCACTATTTTCTTCCTCTTTCATTTTCTTCACAAATACCTACTAGGTGCTGGGTGCTACTGAGTCAAAGAAGAAACAAATCACATGGTTTGAAAACTTGTCCTCAAGGAGTTCCCATTCAATCCAGAATGAATAATCAAATACAAATGATGCCTTTTTAACATTTAATTGGCTATAAGGGGTAGTCACAGCACATTTACAATTTATCCTAAACTCAGATTGACAGGTAATGTCCAGCTAAATTTGAATTTCAGAAAAAACACGAATAATCTTTTAGTATAAGTATGTCCCATGCGGTATTTAGGACATACTTATACTAAAATACCTCTTGGGATAAACCTAACTCTTATAACTCTGGCCAAAAAAAATCAACTGGGTTTTTTTTCTTTTAGGTATAGTTTAGGTCTAGTTTAATCCAAATATTCTGGATTACATAATTCAATGAAAATTTCTTTTTACTGCCAATACCTGATTCCACTGTTGAAAGACCTTAAATTTCACACAGATATAACAGATGATGGCTTCATACTACATTTCTCACCTTTTGAGTACAGAATTTACTGTTCTTTTGTCTTTTCCTTATTGATCTTTATTTTAAATAAATAAACAAAAACCCACCTCCTTCCTGAAACTTGGTACAAAGACAAAGTACAGACGGGGCCAAGTCACCCCACCTGACTTACCCACTCCTTTTAAGGTGTGTGTGTGCAGTGAAGTATCACACAGAGCAAACTTTACAGGGAGAAATTCTCTCAGTGGCAGTCAGAAAATGGAGAAATAGATGTGGGAAACTCAAGTGCAGCTGGCCCTGAGTATGGTCAGTGGGCTTTTGCCCACAAGTTCTTAGGGATGAGCATGAAGCTCCAGCCAGAGGCTGAGAAACTGTCTACATCCTAGTTCACCTGCATTTGCACTGACATACAGGGCATGTATCTTGGAACCTAAACAGTAAACACATTACCACTCACATAGCTGTCCCTCCTTATTTTCAGCCTCTCGCGCGCCCCCCCCCCCCCCCATCTTCTACTCCACACTGTCCCTTCCAGGCCTCAGCTACTGGAGGTCTGCACCTCCCTATCACCATGTAGGCAGTGAGCAACTCCAGCTGATGGTCTCCTCTTAGTTAAACCTTAGCCTCTCTGGACCCTCTTTTATTTCCAGGACTCTTCCCTCTTCTCATGTCACTTGCCAGCAAGATCCTCCTCCTATAGAGCCACCACCCCTAACCCCCTATTCCTTCCACACCAGTGCCATCACATTCCTCCTCTGCTCCTTCCCTTCTCACACTCACTCTTCCTAGGTCCTCTGTCATCTCTGGCTCCGATCACGCACATCTGCATTTCCATCCCCACTCGCCCAAAAAATTCGGGACTCATTAGCCCAGCCACCCTCCAGCATCTACCTCAGCTGGGGCTCATCCCAGGCTCTCCCTTTCCTCCCTGGCCTGCCCTCATCACACATACCCTTAATCTGACACCAGATCTGACCTGAGTGTCTTCCAAATCCATCTCTTACTCTCCAGCCCACATTTCTCACCCAGCCTCTTATGTGGGCTCACTGCCTCAACCCCACTGCATCCTGACACTGTCTGGTTTCCTAAAACATAATTTGGTCTGTACTTCCTCTGATTAAAATCTTCTGGTGACTCCCCTTGCCTTTATAATAAAGTCTAAACTCAACTTGACATGCAGGGCCTATTTGAGGTAGCCCAGGCACCATCCACCACCCTCAGTGAGCCCTCACACTCAGGCCACTCTCTTCTCTGCAGCTTCCCCAACACACTGTGCTGCCTCTCAGGCCTCCGGCCCACTGTCCAGGCTGCTTCCCCACCCCTCCTGCCCCTCCCAGCCCCTGCCCTCACTGGCTCACTCCCACTCACTCTACCAGAGGAGACCTGCCTGAGCTGGGAGCTTGGCTCAGGTGTCCCTCGCCTGGGCTTGCACAGGACTTGTCCCGTTACACTGCAAGGGTTCCTTCCTCTCAGAGCCCTTCTCACTACAACATAAGCTCTCAGGGAAGCCATGTGGCACTCACCCAATAGCCTACAACTCACACAATCCTGATGTACGAGAGAAATTATGCTATATTTGCTGGGCTCCTCTGTAAGGAAATGAGAAGAGGGCGAGAGCAGGGATGGCCACAACCAGGGACGTTGACATCAAGTTAAGTGGACCCTTTGTGCTTTTGTGGAAAACTTCACCACACCCATCTTCTCACATCATCAAGGGGAGCAAAGGAAATCATCCTTAAATCCTTCCCTTATTTCCCACTTTCAAGAGAATGGGCTCTGGGTGATGAGACTAATATTACATTATTTTTATGATTTTGTTCTGTTTAGCAGAAAAATCTTCAGGGAGGATGATGATGATTCCTTTGGTCAGAGAAGGACCTGATATTTCTACTGTACTCTTTTTTTTTTTTTTTGTATAGCAAAGGTGGAAATTTATTGAAGAAAAAGTACAAACTTCCGAGTGGGGAGAGGGAAAAAACCTCACAGCATAGACTCCCATGTTGGGAAGGGAAAAGGCTCCCCCCCCCCCCCCCCCGTACTCTTTTTAAAAGCCAAGGTGCCTCAGTGTTTGAGAATCGATTTATGAACCAGGAGGTCACAGTTCAATTCCCAATCAGGCACACACCTGAGTTGTGGGCTTGATCCCTAGTGGAGTGCTTGCAGGAGGCAGCTAACTAATGATTTTCTCTCATCATTGATGTTTCTATCTCTCTCTCCCTCTCCCTTCTTCTCTGAAATCAATAAAAATATTTTTAAAACAAAATAAATAAACAAAAACAGAATCAAGGTTCTGTTCAGAAAAGAATCCAAGAATCCAAGGACCTCAGCATTTTAGTCCCAGCTACACAAGAGGCAAAATCTAAATAAGCACTTGGAAATTCTGTTCCCTCTGGCCTGAAAAAGTTAACACACAAGGGAAAATTGCAGAATTCTGTTCCCGTGGTCCACATGCGAGGCAGTGAGTGTGGCTCACCTGTCCAGACAAGCAGGTACGATGCCATAAGACACAAAGAAAGGAGACAACCCCAGGGTTAACTACGTACCAGAAGCAATGGAAACCTCAAATCCCATTTCTTCTACAGCAGCTCGGAGCTCTTCTGGGTTAATTATAGAGGGATCATAGAGAATCGTTCCAGTCCCATCAGCCAGAGAGACTGATATTTGCTGCACACCTTCCCTTTGGGAGATCAGGCCTTCGATGGACTGGACACAGGATGCACAGGACATGCCAGCAATAACAAGCACCATGGTACAGCACTCGCCTTGCACGTGGGTTCTCTGGGCAGGGACAGGGGAGGGATGTGTAGAAGACCTGTTATCTGTCCCACTTCCTTCTGCTCCGTCAGGAAGAGAAACTTTAAAGTTCCCTGGTGGAAGAGCCTCAATCGCCTTCTGCAGGGCCTCCGGGGAGACATAAGAAGGATGGTACTGTACTTGGGCAGATCTGTTCTCCAAGGACACCTGAATATTTTGAACTCCTGGGAGTTTGCTGATATTTTCTTCAATATTCCGGACATAGGACTGACAGTGCATTCCATCTATGCTCAGCTGCAGGGTGACCACATGGCTCCCTTGCTGCTCCAAGGTCTGAGAGTTATTGACATTCTGGTTAAAAGTTGAAGGTGTCTTTGAGTAAGCGCTCTGTAACCGCCCAATATCAATTTGTCCCAGGCTTAGAGGAGCCACTTTGTTCTTGATGACAGCTTCAAATCCCATGTCGTTGACATGGTCCCTGAGGTCTTGAGGTTGAATAAGAAAAGGCTGATAAATGATGACTGCCTCTTGGTTGCTGAGTGAGACTCTGACTCTCACCACTCCTTGCAGTTTCCCAATCTTGCCTTCTATGGAGTTGACACAGGACTGGCAGGTCATGCCCTTCACTCGAAGCTTGACCACAGCCTCCAGGGCTGGCAAGGATCTTAAAGGCCAGGAGTCAGCCTTTCCTTCTGCGATGCTGGCCTCGAAGCCCATGTCCTCAATTTGAAAGCAAACATGTGGCAGGCTCATAACTGATGGCACATATTTTACAATTGCGTTGCCTTGTTCCAGGGAAACCTTAATACTCACAATGCCTTTCAAACTGGAAATCCTGCCCTCAATAGACTTTACACATGACTGGCAAGTCATGCCCAAAATGCTGATGGTGCCACTGGTTGTCTGCGAAGGGCACGTACCGTCCAGACTATCTTCGTAGCCAACATTTTCAAAGGCGAAACTCTCCTTCATTGTTGGTTCCCAGCCACGAGCAGGCAAAGAAAGTTTAGACAGAATCTAAAAGAAAAAGAAATAACCCTTTTTATTCTTAAAACAATATTTTTTTTCTAAATTATCCCACCTTGTCTATCACTGAGAAAATGGAAAACAGTGCCACTGGTGTCGAAACATCCCAAGAGTACAAGAGCATAAAAAGCCGGGAAAGAGAGCTATAGACATCACAGTTGACCTTGAACAATGCAGGGGCTGGGGATGTCAATTCCTATAGTAAAAAATCTGCATATAACTTTGATTCCACAAAAACTTAACACCCAGCCCTCCACATCCATAAATTCCCAACCTTAGATCTAAAAAGGTTGACCCTTGAACAACACAGGTTTGAACTGTATGGGTCCACTTATCTGTGTTGTTCAAAGATCAATTATGTTTATCAAATGAAAAGGTTTTAAACAGGTTCCTTTTAGTTCTGACATTCTGTGATTCTAACCTACAAGTCAACTTGCCTACCTTAGTGCCATGTTTTTTCTTACCTAGAAGATGTGGAGATGTCTATGGGAAAGGAGGAGAGCATGACGCAGCTTACAAGCACAGAACAAGCATGCAGGCCTGTGTCAGAGGCAGTAAGCACCGCAGCCCACAGGTGCCCCAAGCGACCCTCCCCCAGTACTGGACGATACCTGAAACCGCCCCCCTAGCTTGGTCCTTTCAGCTCTAAGTTAAGGATTCTGCTGCAATGCAAACACAAAGATTAGGTAACACCTTAATTCCATATCTCATTCTAGGTGTGTCTGTCTCAATCTCTCAGCAGGGCTTAACAATCAATCACAGGGTACTCAAGCATGTCAAACTTGCAGCATGTTCCAATGCAGACCTTCCAGGCCCCTTGGGGTCAGACCATATATACCAGTGAAAAAAGATCTAGAAGTATGCTCTGTGAGTCAGAGGAATTGAGCTGGGCCAAGCAGGGCAGGAACGAAAAAGATGAGAGAATAGAAAGTTGAGTTTAACAAGGAACTTCTCAATTCTGCCTTTGCTGAATGTCACTGTTCTTCCTAGTGTTCAGGACAGCTGTAGTCATTACATAAAATGGCAAGTGTGTTACCAAATTCAATGGACCTATTTACTTAATACACCACAGTAAAAGTATAATTACCTGATTTCTTCGCAAAATGATGAGGCCTCAGCCATTCGATTAACATAACATGATTTTCTTTCACAGGGTCCCAGTCTCAGCACTCTCTTAATTAGATACAGTTTTTATACCAGTATTATTACATATTTCAGAAATTTGGGAACAGAACTTTATACATGGTACATGATGAAAAAGCATGTCACTCTCTGTTCCTACATAATCCTACTTATCTTCAGATGAATCTCAGTTACATGGGTTGATCTCCGTATTGCCATGCATAAAATGCATAATCTTTCTAACTTCAGATTTTGAGCAGCTTAACAAGATAAAGTTTAAATAACTTTCAAAAATGACTATAAATGTTCATTTGTATAATCCACAAAGGAAATCATAAGCTACTTTGAGATTAATAATTATAAAGAATTATTTTTAAAAATACTTACTATAGCATTTCCTAAAATAGTATAGAAAAAAGGGAATAATTGTGTAAGAAACAGTAACCAAGTAGGGTTGCTGAATTCAGTAAATAAACTGAAATTATATGTGGTATAAATATGGAAATGTAGTATATAAGGATGATATGGCTTTACAGTATTAACTGACAATTGGATAACCACACCTCAGAAATCTATCCAGAAAAATATAAATCTACAATAGAACGTAAATATCAAAAGATATTTCAGATAGATGCCAACACTGGTTTGGCTCAGTGGATAGAGCATCGGCCTGTGGACTGAGAGGTCCCAGGTTCAATTCCAGTCAAGGGCATGTATGTACCTTGGTTGTGGGCACATCCCCAGTGGGGGGTGTGCAGGAGGCGGCTGATCGATATTTCTCTCTCATCAATGTTTCTAACACTCTATCTCTCTCCCTTCAATAAGATATATATTTTTAAAAATAAAAAATAAAAAAATAAAAGGAAGATGTAAAAAGCAGAATAATAAAAACATAGGGGAATATCTATTATAATCTCAGAGTGAGGAAAGTCTAAATATGACAAAACAAAAACAAGAAAATTCGGAAGCTATAAAATTGCATATTGATATATCTAACTATAATAAGAAATTGCTCAAACCAAGGCAAAAGTTAAAGAAGAAACTGAGAGGGGAAAGCTTGACTTCACATTAAGCAAACTAAGAGCTAATTTCTTTAACACATAAAGGGGTCCTTGAAAGAAGAAAAAGGTTAACAACCTAACAGAAAAAAGAGGGTAGTTTATAAAAAAGAAAATAAAAATGGCTTTATAATATATAAAAAACAATTAAAGGAGGAATGTAACATTCCAACCTCACTGTGGCACAGTTTTCACCATTCAGATTGGCACTCATTTTGATCCTCAGAACTAGTGGGAATGTCATTTCTGGAAGGCAACTTGACAATACATATTAAAATTACAAATTCAAATATTCTTTGACCCAGCAACTCTACATCTAAAAATTTAGCCAGTAAATATGTTTATATGCGAAAGGAAGCAATCAACAAAAGATTGGAAATAAATGTCCATGAATAAGAGGATGATTAATTAGATAGATTACTGCACAGCCATACAATGGAATACTAGCCAGTTCTTAAAAAGATTAAAGCAACTTTATAAATACTGAAATAGACTGATATCTAATATATTGTTTAGTGAAAAGCAAGGCACATAAATCTATAGTACCTTCAGTAATCTATTGCTTCATGACACCAAATTAAGTGGTTTATAACGAATGCACATAGATTTTTAATTTGGACAGGGCTTGATATGGAAAGCTTGCTCTCTTTGCCACATAGCATTTTTTAAAGTGGACTGCTTGGGCTGGAGGTGCAACTTCCAAGATGGTTCATTCATCACAATGACTGGCAAGTTGATGCCAGCTGCTGTCTGGAAGCTGCTGGTTGCAGAAACCTCAGTTCTGTTCCATGTAGCCTCTAGGTACACCTCACAATTGGTGGTTTGTAGGTTCTGAAAGGGAGTGTCACAATAGTGAGCACGCCCGGAGAACAGATCCCATGTGCAAGCACATATGAAGCCTGTCCCCTTGCATCACTCTTACTAGTTTGCCATAGGTCAAATCCAGTCACAAGGCCAAGTTCAGTCATTATTGAGATAATTACAGAGACTTAAACACAGGGAGGTGAGTTCATTGGAAGGGCCACCAAAATGAATCTTTCACAGTATGCTAGCATTATTTGTGTGAGAAAAAGACTATTATACATATAGATGCTTATACATGCATGGATTACTCTGGGAGAATATATAATAAACTAGTACAGAATTTGAGAATTGGATACTTGAAGGAATCAAGTGACTAGAGTATAAGAGGAGGAAGAGTTACTTTTCACTGTATAACGTATTATATAATACCAAATTGTGTTACCAAATTCTATAAGTAATTGAAAAAATTAAAATAAAATAAGTATAAAGGAGATCCAGAACTGTGATTTGATTGTAATTGTAATTGATATTAATTAAATACTTATTTAGCTGAAAAGGATGAAATGAAAACTAAGAAAATATCTAAGGACATTTACTTTAATATGTTAGTAATTGCCTCCTTATAAAAAGACATAAACCTCGACCACCTAGTCTGTTGGAAAAATAAATCCCTACCCAACTTCTTCTTTTTTTGTTTTTCTTTTTTGTCTTAGTTCTAGCTGCATCTTACCAAACCCCAAATCACAGTGCTGGTTCTTAATCCCTAGATTACTGCCAAAAAGGGTTAGAAGTGATGGAAGCTATTTGTTTGTGGCAAACAATGCTCAGAGGCCCCCTTCCTAACAGGCAGGTTTCTAAGGACAAGTAGTTAAGGAGGATAAAACTTTGCAAATAACCAACTTTATGAATCACCAAAGTATATGTACAAACAATCTCCTAACAGTTATTCAGTGTCTGGATAGTTTATAAGTGTACACACATGGTGGGTGGATGTGCATGCTTTTAATTCCACTCTGAAGTGGAATTGGTGGTGAAAAACTCTCATGTAGAGTTCAAACAAATAAGTGTAGGTTTAAGGGCTCATCAAACAATCAAGGGCATTGGAGAGTGGGCCCAGGAGACAAATTCTATACTCAGGGAAAACCTTGTAGAAGCCCTAGTCTTGTTTAATTCCCACTAAATTGTGTACTCCTTGAAGACAAACATCTGGGACTTCGTCTGTAGGCCCAACACCGGGATGGGGAAGAATTTTTGCGAGCTTTTGAATTTTTAATTAATTAGTAGTATGATAGGCATTAGTATTAGAAGGGATTACAAATACAAGAGGAGAGAGGGATTTCACAGAGGGAAATCTAAAATGAATTTCTATTCTTTACTGTCTCTCTAGGCACCCAGGTCACATGGAAGTTGCTGAGAGTGCCAGGTAAAAATAGGTAAAGGAATATAAGTGTTGATTCAACAAGATGGAAGAGGAAAGAAAAAAAAAAAAAAACTTTTAGATAGGCCAATCTGGTATGAAGACATTGGAAATCAGGTGGCATGTTTTGATGAAAGTTTTCACAGCCAGACTAAAATTGAAAAGTCATTGAACAGAACCGTGATTACACATCAAAGAGCAATGCTATGATGTACATAGTGGAGAAACCACTAGTCACTTTTGAGATCTCTCAGTTACATATGGATCCCCATCACCCTTAAATAGGTACCACTTGCACACTTATCCTTGAGACTTCTTTCACTTTGAAGGGTGTATAATGCCCTTAACTACTTATAGCCAAAAATGTCATGCAGGTATGCAACTTTTCCAAAATATAACCTCCATCTCATACAACTCTATATTCCTAAACTTTCACGAATTCAAAATACAGAAAAGTCCTGATTTTTTTATATGTACACAGACCCAGTGGTAGCAAATAGTTAATGATTCTCAGTGTTATTTTATAAGGGTGACATTCTATATCCCTAATACTCAAGGTTATTCTATAAGGAGGCATTCTTATCACCATTTTACTGTTGAGACAGACTGAGATTTATCCAATGCCACAAATCCATTTAAATAACAGAGCTGGGATTTAAATCCTGCTCAAAAGTCTAGCAGGTTCTATTTTTTAAAAACAACTTTTGAGGTTACTTTTTCTTTTTAGCCATGTTAATTACAGAAAGAGACTACAATGCAGAAAAGCAAAATGAAAGAAATACAGCTACTGGTGCAGTAGAGTGAATGTATAGGGAGGGAAGGGTGTGGCCAGGACATTGAGGCCAGCTGCCTGAGGCTAAGCCTGGCCTTAATACCTCAGTATCTGTCACCTCTAGCTATCTTGGGAACTTCAGAAAACTACAATAGAACATCAGTACTCTTTCTGCTTTCTTCAATACATATTTCTAACTCTAAATACACTCAAAGCAACTACACTTAGGAAAGAAGACAGGACACAGGCACAGGTGGCAATTTTGTACATTCTCCTGAATACATTGTAACTGAGTTCCTGCCTGGCTCTGCTCTCATCTAAGAACTAGAGGCCTGGTGCACGAGATTCAAGCACTGGTGAGGGGTGTGACCTGTGAGGATCAGCCCACTATGGGAGTGCCACTCATCCCAGTCAGTGGGAGCACACTGACTTCCCAGGGGCATTTGAAAAAAATAGTTTAAGTCAGGAGCATAGGATCATAATTCCCTTATGTCATTCCCCAGAATCATGATAATATAATGATCTGAAAGACCTACATTAGATACATGCAATATTATCGCTGGTTAGAAGAGATGTCACACAATGATATTAAGATAATTCAGCTATTTATATTATACTAGAGGCCTATGCACTGGTGGGGTCCCTCAGCCTGGCCTGCCTGCACCAGCTCGCAATCCAGGATCCCTCGGGGACGTCAGATAGCCAGTTTGCATGGATCCCTGTAGGCCCAATCCAGACAGAGGGAGCCCGGTCTTGTGCGTTGAACGTCTGTCCCCTGGTGCTCAGTGCACATCTCAGCAATCAGTCTGCTGGTTGTTAGGCTTATATATATATAGATTAGAGGCCCAGGGCACAATCTTCCTCCCTGAACGAGAGGGGGGTGGTCCCCAGTTTAGGCCCAATCCTACAGGGACTGCTCACAAAAATTCTTCACAGGTTTGAATGTTTTTACATTAACAGTCGTGACTTCTTTAAGTAACTGGATCACACCACTAAATCTAATTTTCACCCTTTATTTTAGCAGGGATATATTGTGCCATCTAGGCTAACTTGATTACATCTAGGCAAAATAAAATCCAATCTATCCACCCTTCACACAACACACAATGCTGTATCTTGCTTTCTAAAATGGTCAAGTCCACAACCTAACAATATAAATCCACTTTTCCTTTATTTGTTCATTCATTCAACAGCTTGATTACTGAGGACTGATATACTATCAGAAATATGGACCCTAGATTCAAATAAAAACAGCTGCCAAGATTACCCACAGTGAGGCCATGGGTACAGAGTCCTGGGCAGTTGTTTCTGAGAGGAAGAGGAATTCTGCTTTCCAACTGGAGCCAGTCCTAGTAGCCTCTACCCTTCCCATTCCCCAAAGAGGGATTCTGAGAGGCAGGGGCCTATTCCTCTTCAGTCCATTGTCCTGGGCCTAAGAAGAGACCAGACTCCAAAAAGAGACCAAGCTCAGGTGTGTGGGAGCCGGGACCAGAGCACCCAGGCCAGGCATGGAGGTCCCTTGGGTAAACTTGCTCCTGTTGTGGGGCGGGGGTAATTCTCTAGGAACCTCACCAGGCTTAGCCCAACCTGCAGAAACTGCAAATACACAGTGGGAGGCAGGGATGCCCTCTCCAGACTTCATGTTTTTTCCAGTTATGCTTTAAAAGACATTTTTCCCCTCCTGCCAGACCAAAACACACAAGAAGTTCATTTTAAAGAAGTTTTCTCAAGCATTTAAGTAAAAAATTACTATTTTGCTATCTCAGACACTGGGCAAAAAATATAAAAGCTGGCCATAAACTGCATAAATGCACATTCGTAAATCTCTTTTTACATAAATCTCTTGCATAGTACAATTCAAAAATCTCTTTTCACAAAATTTTAGTTTTGGGGACTTTCTAAACTAATAACCCCCCCCCCAAAAAAAAACACCACAAAAATAACTGCTAAAGGGGCAAAGTAATTATGAAAGTTTTCCTTTATATCTAATTAGTCTTTTTTTTCTCTCCATGTACGTAGGGCAATGAAAAAGACCCCCAACAAACCACCAGTCCCATACAGAATTCCTACTGAAAGACATCATTTTTCAAAATGTTACATTACCTTATTTTTTACCTTTAAGTTAACAAAATTTTCATTTGCTTAAGTGCAGCTCCTTTTTCCAGAAACATTTTTTGAAATGTTTATTGAGTCGAAATGTGGAGGTTAACAAAATAAGGCATACATTTAAAATTTTTAAAAGGGAAAGATCTATTTTTGTCTGATTTGCATTTTAGAAAACATTTGCTCTACAAAGGCTTATAAAATGTCCTGAAAATAAGAAGCAATAAAACCAACAAGGTTTATCCACCGTAGTCCTAATCTCTGAAGAATTCACCTTAACTGCTGGGACTCAGCGCTATATTCACTGAGCCAGATCTGCACCCCTGCGCCCTCATATGTAAGGCATGGAAGAAACCTCCATCTGTAAACCAGATCCAACCCCCTGTTGGTTTTTTAGCCCTTCTGCAATTGCACTGACCTGACGGGAACGGATTTCCTGTGTTCCATTCAAAACCTCCTGGGAAAATTTTCCTTCCTCTGATGGGGGAGAGCCTTTCTCCTCCAAAGGTATCTGCCTGGTGGGACCCTGGCCCCGAAGGCTCCTCCTCAAGGACCACCACTTGTGGACAGACAGCACAGTCCCCTGTGAGCCACGCAGAGTTGCCAGGAAGGACTGGTCAGGGTTCCCGGGCATCTCACCGCCAGCTTTCTCCATGGCTGTATCCAGGGTCACACCTTCATCTCCACTAGCAGTGCACCTTCACCAGACTACTCAGGCCCCTTAGAAGGAAATGCTTTAAAAGTATCCCTCTAACAAAGGGGAAGGCACTTCCCTGCAGGTTCCACTCTGCTCCTGAGCCAACCCACAAAAGGCCAAGTGAGTCTTGAGTCTGGCATGCAGCAAGCCTCAGGAATTCGAGCAGACTGCACACTGCTGTACATATATTTGCTCTTGTTTATCCGTCATCACACTGCATTCGGCACTGGGACTCTGCACACGGCCCGCACATGCCTCTGCCCAGAGCTGCCGGGACACCTGGAGGCGGTGCAGGAGCCCAGCACAATCATCTCCCAAAGTTTCCCTTTGGCCACATGCACTTTCAGGAACCTAACCTAGAGGCAGGGAGGAGAGGCCACTTTTTATTACCAAACTTTCAGCACTTTCTTGGAATAACTTCAGCCTCTTCCATAGCTCCAGTGCTGATGGTGTGCAGAGCGTCAAGGGAGAGAAGTATTTCCTAGGCAACATGACTTGAATTATCAAGGAGTAAGAAAATTCCATGTTTTCTGTAGCTGTTTTTCCTTGGACCAATGAATGGCTTGACCTCACTGAGAACAGACTACAGAAACTCACTGGGATAACAAAGCTTACCTGTGGCTTATATGTGGCAGAACAGCCAGGAACTAACACACAATTCAGGCTTCTCAGGCTACCGTCGGTTCCATAGGAGGATTAGGAGGAGACATTAGACAGTGTGGTAATCCGGCTCCTCCAGCTCTGTGAGCAGCAGAGCCTCCCTTCCCACGCCCACCCCCACCCCCACCCTCCACAGACAAGGAGAAGGAGTGACCTCATTCCTCCAAGGGAGAAACGGCTCCACCAGCCACTAATCCTGGCAACACCTCCTGGAACAAGTTAGTGTGGAGTGTGCACACTGAGGACTGAATGGAGCTGGTTGGTAAGACAGTCACTGTGTCCCTTGCATTGCTTTCCCTCTCGCCCCAACAATGTGCTGCTGGGGAGTGGGGGGTCATAGGGGTGTGCACCCAATGAGGACATTTAGAACACATCCCCTTCACCCTAACCAGTTTGGATCAGTGAATAGAGCCTGGGCCCGCCCGAGGACTGAAGAAGGGTCCTAGGTTTGATTCTAGTCAATAGGGGGTGTGCAGGAGGCAGCTGACTGATGTTTCTCTCTCATCGATATTTCTTACTCTCTCTCCCTCTCCCTTCCTCCTTGTAAAAATCAATAAAATATATTTTCAAAAAAGAACACATTCCCTTCTGCTCAAGGTCAGAGGATCTGCCTTTTCAATGTTGCTTAGTAACCCTTCCTTCCCAAGAATTCTTGACCAAGAGATCTGTTCTTTTTGAGATGAGGTGGCCTCACCACTGGTCCACTCACCACAGGCCCTTGGTGACTTTTCTTTCTCTTCTGTTTTCCATTTGCTCTGTGGGGATGTGGCCATTTGTTTGCTCCACTTCTGGAACACACTCAGGGCAGCCAACTTCAAAATGTGTGTGGGTTGGCTTCCTATCTTCCATGTGCTCAGCCAAAACAGAACTTGCCTCAATTTCTAAGAAGTGCCATTTAAATCAATGACCAAAGGGGATATTTAATGCTATGGGCCTCAGCCCCCAATCCCAGCCAGAAGCCAACAGAGATGAGCCTAGTGTATGTATGATTTCTTTCTGGCGATCTCTCAACTCTTACTTGCTTACCTATGACCTCCCTTTTTCCTGATAGGATCTGCTAAGATTTATGGATTGATGCCTGATCACCTCCCATTTCCTTTATGGGCATGATAAGTAGGTCTTCCAGATACCTGAGTCTTATCCCTTTAAGCACCAGATTTTTAAAAAAAAACTTTTTGCCACTCTGAGTGGAAATCTCCCCAAAGGTATAATTTATCTTTCTACTGATTTTTAAAATATGAGTTACTATCCTTATTTCAACTTGTCCTTAGTGATATGAGATCATTATAAATAAAAATGCTGCTTTTGTGCAGTAGCTGTGAATGGTTAATAAGGAAAGTACGTTGGCCCCATATATCCCAAGTAGCCCTGGGAACTATGAAAAATATACTTTTCTATAAAATACTTTTTCTTCTCCTAAATGGTCACTCAAACCCAAAACACGGCCAGAAAAAGGAGGCAGGGCCAGGCTATAAAGGGCGTGTGTTTTAGACTTTGCCCTGTGGACAGGGGAGAATCTTCAGTTTTTAACAGAAGACTTACGAGATTATATTTGTGATTTAGAAACAGCAGTTTGGGCAGGCAGAGGAATGAAGACTCAGGGGGAGGGGATTATACTTGTACATAGGTTTATCAGGAACAAAGAATTAACAGTAGAGTGAGAGTAAACAAATGAGGATGTCCTCCAGGCTCAGCATTAGCTGATGACAGCAAGTCACACACAGAGAGGGCCTGAGGGTGACAATGCCATTTCCAATTTGGCAGAAATGAGGAAATGAGGGCTAGAGGACAAGCATGCCTGCGGGTGAAAATGATGGATTCTTCTTTGTTCCTATAGAATCATATGAAACAGCCAGGGCTCCAGCCACTTTCCCAGGCTGGAGAATCAAACTCCTTTTTCTGGAACCTTCTCCTTTCCTCACACCCAACTGTTAAATTTTGGAGTGTGCACACTGAGGACTGAATGGAGCTGGTTGGTAAGACAGTCACTGTGTCTCCTCCCCATCTAATTTTCCTTATCCTTTTAGTCCTGCCTCGCTTAGAGGCGCCTCCACTCTAGCAGGGCTGTCTCTGAGTTCCAGTATCACTAGTGTCAAGACTAGCAGCCTTTATGAATACTGGATGACAAGTCTCCCTCCATGGAGGCTGCACTCAGCCAGGCCCTACGTATCAATGATGCCTAGCGTACACTCAGCAGCGGGAAGCCCTGTAAGCTCCTGGAAGACGAGGTTCTTCCGTCCTATCTGTCCACAAACCTAACAAGGGGGTGAACAAATATCGGATGTTAAATAAGGACTTGCTAAGCTAACCCACAGACGGGTCAGAATGCTTTCTATCTGCAGCCCACAGTGCTCTAGGCCCTTTATGGTGAAGCAAGAGCACACTCCACTAGTCTCTCACATACAAGTATTCCTCCTAGAACTGTAGGCTTTCCACGTCTCCCTGACTAAATTGGTTTGTCTTCTACATGTGCAAATTGTATTTTCCAAACTAAATTCATCTTGTTTATCCCCTACTCACCTTCTCAGTTTCTGTGAATCTCTTCTGTATAAAAATAAACATTTCCTTGGTTTCCTAAACAATCCTGCTGTAATGTAAGAAGTCTGGGCCCAAAGGCAGATGGGCAGCTCAGGTTACCAGGAACCTTCAGGACAAAGGACCCTATTTGAGGGGGGACATCTGATTCAAATATTTTTAGCACTCACAAAGATTACCTGCTCACCCAGCTAGAGGCTAACACTGGGCAGGACTTCTCAGAAAAAAACACTGGGCCAGTTCTCCCGAGACAGGCAGAGGAGTCCCAGATCCTGTGACAGGACAGAATGACAGAATCTGACACTAAGCTGCATGCTGGGAAGCAGTGGCCCAGAAGGTTCCCAGAGAACATGAGCAGTACAAACAGCCTATCCTTTACAACAGGGTATAATATTAATAAACGAATATAATTTAAAGCCTGATAGTCAAATATTTAAGTGCTATGCACAAAAGAAGATACTTTCTGCCTTCAGGAATTTATTAGCAAGTTAGGAGAGAAGAACGGTAGAGGGCAGTATTAAAATACTAAAAAAATCATTCAAACATTAGGTGCTGGGATATGGGAGACTTGCTAGGGAAGAACAGGTGGCACACCCTCCTCACACACCCAGGAACTGGTGACTTCAAGATTGAAACTGTTAGCTCTGCATGACTTGTACACCGTTGTATTAACAGGAGACCAACAAAGAACACCTGGTCCAGCTCACTCGCGGGAGTATGCTTAATAAAACTGCACCTGGCTTAACAGCCTAGCGTAGAAAAATCACAGTGGTTCTAAATTATGAAGAGACTGGACAGGTGTTATAGTTATATTAGTGTGATTATTTAAGGATTTAAAACAGTGTAAGAATAATTACTTGTGTGATTTAAAATAGGAATGGGAGCATTTACTTTTATGAGTGATTTATAGTTTAAGTGTGAATTGTATTTTTGATCTTATTCTGATTTTATTTTAAGTAAAAGAAATTATTTGAAATGTGTTTTAGGCTTAGTATAAGTAACTCCATATAATGTGACTTGAATCCATTTTGTAAAACTTGAGTTTTAAAACTGACTTTGAGCCCCTAACTGTGTGAACGCCCTAACAAGTGTTTATCTGAAAAGTTGGAAACTGAGGCAAAAGGTACCTGGAGAGCGCCCGATTAGGCACATTGAAGATCTATTGGTTGCACCCAGAAGGAATTAAGAAACACCCAGAAATGGCCATAAAAGGGACCTAAAGGCACTGGGCAGAGACTACAAAGGGGCCCTCCACCCGACATGTTCTCCCACTCTCTTCTCCCTGTTCGAAATACTGCATGAGACTCTGCCTGAGTGAAGCTGTCACTCTGCCAGTGAGCCAAACTTCTGAGGCCTCGTTCCTGACCGAGACGCTGCAGCAACGTGTTCCTGTCCAGTGTGTGTGTCTGTTGGCACGGATCTCCAGGTGACCTGCCTAGGCTTCTGGAAACCACCAGAACTCTGGTAAATAAACCTTGGGATTCATGCATTTTAACTCTTGTATCTGTGTTTAGTTTATGCTTGGTCAATTTTAGTTAAGTACTATGGGCAACCCGTATAAGTCCAGTTCTCTGGCTGAGGGACCCCAGTCACCTGTGCAGAAGTTCCCACCTGAGGGTGAGTTGGAACAACAGGGCCAAAAGAGAAGCGGATCATCAACGTATAAAAGCCAATATTTTAATTAATTAATTAATTAATTAATTTAATTAAAGTCAATACTTTGATTCCACAGTCAATTGTATGCACCTTCAGCCTCCTCGGCCGCCCTCTTCAACTGGTGCCCAATCTGGCACAACACCAACACTGGTTACCTCCAGGTTCCAATAGACCCCAAGTCTGTCTCCTGCAGTGGAACAAGGGGAAACTAAACACTCTGTGGACCAAAGGGGCCATACACTAACCTGACAAGCTAAGGAAGGCCTGCATGGGAGTCTTGCAAAATCTAATAACCACAGGATGGTCTGAAATTAAAACTTTGACTAAAAGCAGTTATGGTGAGTAGTCACATCCTAGGCCGGTATCAACGTCAATCTTAACCTTAACTGAGCCCATTGTCTTTTTCCTTCTACAATAACA